ATGGCCTGAGCCCCCCATGGATCCATGACAGACTCCTCATTCTTGATTCTCTCTCTCTGCCTACTCTGACTCCTAAAGCGTTTATGGCTGGAGAGACCCCCTAGCCTCGCAGTGAAGATCAGCCTGGGTGGAAGGGATGAGTTACCTGCTGGCTACAGGGAACCCCCTCACTGCTGGGAGGAGGGGCCTAAGCTCCACCCGCCAGGACGCAAGCCTGCCGGGGACTTAGAGGCTCAGGCAGGCTGGGTTGAGGCTGCAGTCAGCCTGTGAGCTCCTCCATCCAGAGCTGAGACCACAGCTGAGTCCCATCAGAGAGTTGTGTCCACTTGCCCTTGTGGAGAAGGAGGCCTCAAGACCAAGCCCCCTCTCCCCAGGGTCATGGGCCCCCCCCCCACATTGAAGCAAGTGGGATATTACATCTGGACGTAACGGTGGGACCAGGACGTGAGTAGTCTGCAACATGGGCCAGGGAACATGGAAGGCTGGGCACACTGGCTCCCTCTTAAGGGGAAGGGAACATCTGCACATCATAACAGAGAGCCAAGGAGAGGGCTGAGAGGGACCAGCAGCCATAGGAGAGAACCTTCTGGAAATGAATGTGGGCTGGGAGAGCAAAGGAAGAGTGAGGGAAGAGCTGTCAGCCTGGGATTGGAATTGAGCTGGAAGCTACTCTGACAGTCATGCCTGGGGTGTAGACATGGAGGGGTCATTGGCTGAGGACTTGCTGAGTACATTTCAATTCATTTCATCTTCACACCAGTCCTAATAAGTAAATACTCTTATTTTTTTCACTTTACACATGAGGAGGGGCCTTCCTGATGGCTCAGTGGTAAAGAATCTGCCTTGCAATGCAGGAGATGCAGTTTTGATCCCTGGGTCAAGACAATCCTCTAGAGGAGGAAATGGTGACCCACTCCAGTATTCTTGCCTGAAAAATCCCATGGACAGAGAAGCCTGGTGGTCTACAAGTCCATGGGGTCACAAAAAGATGGACATGACTGAGCGACTGAGCATTTTGCACATGAGGAAACAGGAGCAGGGAGACTAAGCTGCCCAAGTCGTAATGATGAGTGGCAAAAGAAACAAACTCTCGACTGGCCAACTGCCAGTGTGTGTCCTCACAGACTGGGTGATCCCTCTCCAGCCTGGAGCCACCAAGCTGTGATTCTTTTGGGTCCAGTGAGCTGGGAGTAGCTTTAATCTAGAACTTGGGGCTGCACCTGGAGTCTTAGCCAGAAGGATCTGGAATCCCTGAGACAGAGGATGGATGGGTTGGAAGTAAGACAGAGGGATTCCAGTGATGAACCTCTGAGAGGACCGAATATACATGGTGGTGTGATGTGGATGTGCATCAAGTGAGGAGGGAGAGGCAGGGTGGTAGAAACTGGTCTGCAGGAGAGGAGACCCTCCACATCTCTGCTGGCCTGTGCAGCACTTGCTAAACGTGAGTGTAAGGGCTGAGGGATGGTGCCTTAAGCAGGGGGCTTGTCCTACAAAGAGGAGTGGTAGCAGCCCTGGAAGGGAAACAGGAGGCAGCTGGCAAAGGGCAGCTCAACTTCAGAGCAGCTGCCAACGGTGACTTAAAAAGTCTGTAAGACACTCCCAGCCTCCAACAAGTCATGTTCCCTTCACCTCCTCCAGGAAACCTTCCAAGACTGTATTCAGCTCTGATCCCTTCCTTCCTCTGTAGCCCCTTGGCTGTGCCTCACCATGCCTCCAAGCCCAGATCATCCTCCAAGCCCCTTTGCGTTAGAGAGTGAGGGGTCTCAGAGGGTTCCCCTTGCAGCCGAGATGGAAGCCTGCAGACAGCACAGATGAGGCGAGGGCACAGTACTGCTGAGGGACGGGAGCTTTCCCTCCCAGGACTCCTGGATCAGCCCATCGAGGAAGAGCTGTCGGAAAGTCCCGAATTCTCTGACTAGATGTAAAGAGGTTCAGGCTGTGGCAATGCCAGCACTACCACAGCCCCTACCCACCCCCTCAGTCGTGTGAAAGGAGGGATGGGAAAGAAAGAGGGGAGACAGAAGCCAGGACCTGGGCAACACGGAGACAGGGGCCTGCCTGGGTATGCCAGGGAGAGAAACAGCATCTCCTCCAGCTGGCAGCTCCACGGTGGGCACAGAGCCTGACCAAGGTTGTCTCACACCCTCTTTTGAGTCTTCCCCGCAGAGCCACAGGGTTGGAAGGTGCAGTACCTGGAGCTGATGGCAGAGGGCAGTGTAGGCACAAAATACCAGCCCCAAGGAGTTACTCTTCCTGCTTGGAAACGAGCAGTTGGTGAGTGAATGGGACCATGTGTCAATGAATAGACCCAGTGTTTGCCCTGGCCCTGCACTTAGCCCACCTGAGTCAGATCTCTGGGCACAGTGCTGCTCTGGATTGACTGCTCATGGACCAGGGCACAACTGGTAAACACAAAGGCCCTGTAAACACGCATTAACAGTGATTATTATAGTAACACCTAACATCTATTGGCTGCAAACTGTATTCCAGTTGTTGTATTACTCACATTATCCCTTTTCATATGCTCAACTCTCCTCCACAGTGAGGCAGGTATGGAGGCATTGTGCATGGAAAACATGGACTGGACTCTGAGAGCTGGACCCCCAACTCTGCCATTTACTGTGTGGCATTGGGTGGATTATTTTACCCCTTTGAGCCTCAGCATATCATGAGTGAGATCCACATTATAACAACCATACCTGTTGGGTTGTTGGGAGAATTCATTGTTGGCGTTGTGCTGAGAGTAGTACCTGGCATATAGAAAGCACTCATCAAAGGCCAGCTTGTATCAACCCCATTTTACAAGGGCAGGATCTTGTACCCAGTCACAACCAGCCATTAGAAGAGCCAGGATTTGAAGCCAAAACACATGACGCTCAGCCAGGACGCCAGACATAAGATAGCATGTGCCTGACACAGTCCTAGCTTACGCCTGCTGTCTGCAGATCCAGTTTAGATTATGTCCAGAATAGAAGTGTCTCAATTTGGTTGATAAATTCTATAAATAGCATACACATGGACAAATGTAAGACACAAATCTCTTAACACAGTTGTGTTTCATCACTTGCATGCCAAATCATCAGGACACATGTGTGTTACATGAGCTCTTTCTCCCCAGTGAAGGTGGGTGAGATGGAGCCATGTATACCTATGACAAACATTACAGAGTGCTGACCATAAGCCAGACTGAGGGCCCCAGAACAGAACACGGAGCTCTGGAAAATAGAGCCTCAACTGTAATATAGGTTCGGGAACAGTGCTGTGGATGTGCAGGGCCCCGGTCCCCACTCTGCTGCTCATCAGGGCTGTGAACGTGGGCAGAGCACCTAGCCATCTGGGCCTGTTTGCTGGCCTATAATAGTGGGGGGATTCGGGGAGTTTTTGGCCACAAGCTCTAATGTTCCTTCTCATTTATGCTTTTATGACTTGATGGAGTCCACATGGAGGGACCAGAAAACACATGGCCATAGGAGGTGGCAATTCAGCTGGACCACCAAGGATGAGCAGGCTTTCAGGAAATGGGGCATGGGCACTTGAGATTGGAAGTTATATTTGCTAAGGTCCTGAGGTGTGAAAAGTCCTGGCCTCCAGAAGAAAGACTGGAGTATGAGGCTGGGGAATGATGAGAGGGAGAAGGGGTCACAGGCACCCTGAAGGTCACCCTCAAACGAGGCTCATTGTGGGAAGGTGGCCTTGCCCTGGAGGACTCTGCTCTTCAGCACCTCGTTCAAGGCGACTGTGTCAACTGCTTCTGAGAAAACAAACACTCTTACAGAAACATACACGTGTGTCAAAGAACACTCTTCTTACTCTGTGTAATTTTTCTTCACAGAAATCATCACTGCCTGCCATATCCTCTGTTTTGTTGTTAATCGCTATTTTTACTCTCCCCCCGAGACTGTGAGCTCCCCTAGGACAGGCTCTTATGTGCCGGTTTGCTGACTCCTGTATTCCCTGCGCCTGACGATGCCAGATTCACCAAAGCTCGTGAGCCACTGCTACATGGATACAGCAGACAGAGAGGCATACTCAGGCAGGTGGGCATGCTGGCCTCAAACTTGAGGATGGAAAAGAATCAGCTGGAAGAAGAGGAAAGCAAGGCTGGTGTGGGAGAGCAAGATAGGAGGTGGGTTGGCAAGAGACTAAGGAGGAAAGGAAGAAGAAGAAGGAATGACTCTCTGACAACAAGAGACAGTTGTAGGGACACTGTGGGAGCTTTTGAGAGGCAGAGCAGGAAGCTGCGCTGAAACTCAGACACCTGAGAGTCCTGGGGTGACTCAGCTCCTTGATCACAGCAGCCTGAGCGTCTTTCTACAGGGGGCAACTGTTCCCATCTCACAGGGCCATTGTGTGGTCTACCTGGAGTAAGTGCCCAGGTGCCCAGGAAGACCCAAGCCTGCCTAGAGGCAAACTTGTAACAAATCTCTGTTGTTTACAAGGAGCAGCTCTCAACCAATGCCTGCCTGGCCAGGACCAGACGGCAAAGATTCGTATCAGACCAGGGACCCAGAGGGAAGCAGGAGCTGGACCAAGAAGAGTTGGATGGGGCAACTCAGATGTCAGTGTGCCGGGCAATAGAGTCAACACTGAGAATGAGATGGCATTGACCATTTATTGCAGAGAAGCAGAGAACTGGGCATGGCCCCAGTCAGAGGACAATGAGAGCCCCTTGACTGTGAAGACCCAGAAAGGTACAAGGACAGAGGGGCTTGCCCTGGTCACAGAGAAGCATCCTGGGGATGTGTGTAATCTCTGCATACAGGGCAGTGACCCAGAGAAAGGTGCCCAAGGAGGAGGTCACCAAGAGAGCTTGTGGCTGGATGCCCTGCATCAGAGCATCACCCCAGTCAGAATCAGGAGCAGCGATGGGACCAAGGCTGTGGTTACAGAGGAAGCACTTCCTGACTTGGGAAGGGGACCCAGAAGAGGAGATGAGGACGTGGCGAGATGGGTGAGGTTTGCAGCTTTCTGCCCGTGAGCCAGCCTTCATCTGCCCTTCATCTCGAGGCCTTTTTGGTTGCACAGCTACTGCCTGAGGTTTTGGCAGAAGCATCCTTGAGCTCGCTGCCTCCACAGCTGCCTTTGGTTTTGACATCCACCGCTGAGGATTTATAGCTGTAACTGCTCGAGGCACCAAAGCCCATGCTGAAGCCAGTGCCTCCTGCCCCAGCGCTGGTGTTGCTGATGACGGCTGCAATCGGCAAGAAAAGACCCAGTTCATTCAGCTTCCTGAGACATCCTGATCATTCCCTTAGTTCTCTCCCCTGGGGTGGCTTCTCCATTGTCTATTTTTAGTTTACTAAGAGATTTTCATCAGCACTGGTCATTTTTCATGTACTTGACCCCATGTATTTGACCTTTTCCTAATTAGTCTATGTTGATCTATCAATGTCAGACTGTAAGCACTAGCAGACTTTAGCAGTGAATTTCCATCTGGATAGGACCAGATGAAGAAAGGCACTTCACAGAAGCCTTCTGATGCTTCTGCTAAAGAAAGGGGCTGCTGGGAGTACCCTACAATAGAACCCTGTGCTCTCTCTAGCTTTTAAATCTGCAGGAGGTTATTTCTGCTTTTTTTATCATTCAGCCAGTCAGGCTCCTCTCGTTCCTTCTTACTTCAATCCAGTACCTCTTTTATGGAATGACCTCAAAGAAATGGAATGCAGTCATTAAGTATCATTCTTAAAGTAGACTTTGGGACTATATACTGTTGGATATCATTTGATCTCTCTATGGGTTATACTTCTGTATAACCTGTATTAAAATAGTATTTCACAATACTGTTTTTCTCCTTGGTTACTAAATCCAGCTCCCTCTTTGTGCCCCTGAGTCTCCCCTTAACCCACTCTATTATTGTTATTCTATATTTTCTTTGGTATCATGAAAATAGAGGGACTTCGACTTCTGGTAGCTGACTAAGGGCAGAACTAGGTACTGCAGATACTTACAGATGCTCACGGAATTTGGATATTCACCAGACATCCTGCAGAGGGAGAAGAAAATCAGATAAACCTCCCTAAACCTCTTCGATCCAGGGAGATCCCTCAGTGAATCAGCCTCCCCTCTCAGACACACCTTCCACTCCAGCCCAGCCTTCTTTCTTCCCAAACACCCGAGTGGGACCTCTCAAGAAACAGAGAACTAAGACGAAAAGTCTGCTGCAGGGAGTCAGCCTCTCCATCAAAGTGGCTTTGGGATTATCTGATGTGTGGGATAATTGTGCCCCTGCTTCCGACTAGTTATGCCTTTGGTCTTAGACAATTAAAAGGAGTGAGCTCACATCCTCTCTGGGCCTCAGGCTTTGCCAGAGCAACCTTGAACCTAGGTGACTCTTAGAGACCATCTTGCCCCTCCCACTCACCTCAAGAATGAGTCATGAAGGGCCAGGGATGCTCTATTTCTCAATTTCTTCAATTCCTCCCCTACCACCTCTTTGGGATGTTTACAATCCTGTCCTTCTTGCTGTCTAACTCTGGTCTTTCCTACCACACCATGTCAAAACCATTCTTTACAGAGTTTCACCTCAGTAGGACCTGAACAAAACCAAACTGTTTGCCCTCAACCTTCCTACTAAAGCACAGAGATAATGCTTCAAACAAAAGACATCCCCCCCTCACCTGCACTCCTCGCCCTCCAGCAGCTTGCGGTAGGTGGCGATCTCGATGTCCAGGGCCAGCTTGGTGCTCATCAGCTCCTGGTACTCACGCAGCATCCTGGCCAGCTCCTCCTTGGCCTGGAGCAGGGCGGCCTCCAGCTCATCCAGCTTGGCCCGGGCGTCCTTCAGGGCACAGTCACCCCGCTGCTCAGCATCAGCGATAGCCATCTCCAGGTTGGAGCACTGAAGGGCAAATGGATTCAGTGCTTTGGGTCAGAGCATAGCTCTGAGATCCTCCTCAGAAAATCGCCCTTCTTTTGATCCTGACTGATGGTAAATGCTTTGAGGTCCTTCTGGTTTTCCCATTTTCTGAACATCACTAGAGGTGATGTCTAGGATCTGTCCTTCCCCCCAACTCCAGGCACAGTTCAGTCCAGCTCATGCCATGGCATATAAAGGTGGAGTGTCCTTACCTTGGGAGAGAGGAGGGGAAAGGTATTGATTGAGAAGGTGGCCACCTGGGCACATGGCTCCATAGTCTCCCTACTAGTCTGTAACATCAGCTGTTCTGCCAACCCTAAAAAGTCTACTAACCCTAAAAAGTCTCTGGGTCACTGGCCTTAATTCTGCCCCATAGTGTAAAAGATATCTTGGGAGATACTGTAAATAGTGAAAAAAATAGGGACCAATAAATTTCCTATTAATAAAATGTCTATTCAATAAACCTACCCCACAGAGGATCTGGCCTCCCAAATTGCACAGAGACTCATGCTACAAGGCAACAGCCTTCAATAATACTTTTGCATAACTAACAGGTTTTACTAGTTTACAAACTTCACTTTTAGGTGTTACTTGCAGAAGTAAACTGCAGGTGGGGCTCAGTGCTGCATCCAGGGGAAGCTGGGCAGATAGAGAGGGTGTCTTGGGCCTTTCAGCCATGAGTGTGTTTGCCAGTCACTGGGTTAGGCTTTGGTGGGATCCTAGGATCTGTCCCCTTTTTATGGAGTCAAAGTTGCTTCACCCCAAGGAGAGCAGCTGGTCCTAAGGCCAAATGGAATTTTTCACTGCTGTCCAGCTGATGCTACCTTCCTCAACCAGGCAGGCCCCCAGCCATACAAGCATCTACAGTGTTTCGGGTGAGTGTTCACAGCCTCAGCAGAAAAACCTAGGACCCAGCTATCGAACCAGGGAAGCGCATTGCCATTCTCAGGACTGTGAAGACCTAATTATTTAGGAAGATGCAATAAACTCTACAACTCGAATTCCACCAAACTGTCCTCTGTTCTTTGTCACTGACTAAGATCCTGCAGGTGAACTTGGGGGACTCCAGAAGCTTGGGTCTTGTGAATGTGGCATGAGTTGAAAGGAAGACCTGAAATGTTGGTTCCTCTGAAACAATTAGCAGCTGGATTCTGGAACCACTGGATGCAGAGTCTGCATGTTTAACTGTGGGCTTCTTTGGTGGAGAGGTCAAAAGGCAGGAAAGCACCTTGGCTGAGAGCCCTCAAGAGGAGCTGCCTTGGGGACCAAGTACCAGCAGTGACCCCCACTGGCTCCCCAAGGAGGATATCTCCCCTGACCTCCAAAGCACGGTGGCTTTTTCATCACAAATGTCATTTTCTGGTGATAAGTTTGCCTAAACATGTACACAGAGCATTTTATCAGATAAATAGAGTAGTTGGGTACCAAAGGTAGCTTCAAACACCTTGTGTTTTTCTTTCATTTATGCAGAACTTGATTAAATAAAAACACCATAGGTTCTTAGTCTATCTTTTTTCTTTCCGCTGTTGGAGGAGGGCTGTGTGTGTGTATGCACGTGCACATGTGGGGCAGAGAAGGGGAGGAGATAGGGAACTTGACTTGCCCAGGAAGCTGAGACCTTAAATCCTTGCACCAAACTCCACAAACTTTGGGAGATTCATGAGTTTTCTTGCTTTGGAATCACAAGCGTGGCCCCATATTGTGTTCCTATGGGCTGAGTTCAGTGTAGTGCCTCCCACAGACAGCCACAGGAAAGGGCAAACACTCAGGAGAGACCTGAGCCAAGACTAGTGTTGGGGGTGTGTGTGGTGGGGGTTGGGGTGGGGTGGCAATCTTCCTTCTCCACTCTCTTCTAAAATCCACTGCTGGCTCTCCTTCCTCCGGCACAGATTCATCATGGGAAATTTCCAAACCCTTTCACCAATTACACTGGGTCTAAGGTCCACCACCCTCTTTGAATACTGCCCATAATCCACCCATTCCTACCTAGAGGTGTCCTGCTCCCTGCCACCCACCCATCATGGACCTTCTGCTCAGGGTGGGCGTCTTTCCTTCTGGCACACATGCCCACCTCACATCCACTGCTCCTGTGGGTTCCTTCACCAGACCCCCTTCCCTCTTTCTGCCTTCCATCCCAAGGTAATCCACCTCCTACAGGAAGCCTCACTCGGGTCCCCACTCATCCAGTGCCCCTTGGAAGCCCTACAGCACTTAGGGAGTGTGATGCCCAACAAAAAATGCTACATCCTTCCATATGGATTCCTACTGTTCTCTCCTTAGAGATCTTGTTTTACCCTTTTTAGTAATGAGCCTCATACAGATTGGTGCAAGATCCTCACAGTGCTGGGAAGGGCAGGATGCTCTTCTCATTTGTATAGGCTGGTACAACTGTTCTCATACTGACTGTACAAAACAATAATTGGTCTCAAACCAATGAGTGCTGTCAGCTGACTCCTTTCATAGAACCCACCTGCTTCTTCACGTTCCCAATCTCCGAGCGGATCCTCTGGATCATCCGGTTGAGATCTGAGATCTCAGCCTTGGTGAGTTTGAGGTCATCCCCGTGCTGGCCCGCTGTGGCTTGCAGCTCCTGGATCTGAGATTGGGGGACAAGAGACGAGGAGCACAGGACAGTTGGGAATTCAGTCCGTAGGGTGCTGAAGGAGAGGGAGAGTGACGGGGCACTGTTCTCATTATCTACGCAGCACAGGCACAAGAGGAGGAGGGGAGGGGGAGAGGGAGAGGGAGAAAGACAACCCTTTCCTTCTGGATAGGAAGGCCCAGCCCCACTTCAACAGGATCCTTGGATTCTCAAACATGATAGCCCTAATGGAGTCTGAATTTCCTGTCCTCACTTTGACAAAGTTGGAAATAGAAGAAAAGCTGAGATTGTGGATTGTCCACAGAAATGGCATCAGAATCTTACTGAAGCAGTGACTGATGTGGCCTCAGTTGTCAGCAAGGGCCTTGGCTGGGGAAGGGCTTAGCCCATGCACGGCCCCCAACACCTGCCAAGACTGTGGAGGATCTCTCTGGACCACAGGATGGCATTTCCACAAGGCCCAACTCCAAGAAGCAGGAAGTCTCTGCCCAGCCCCAACACATGCACACACACACACAAGCACACACGTGCATACATGATGACAGGATGGTAGCTGTGGTCGCTGGGCCGCTGCACACCTGGCCCTCAGCTCACCTTGGTCTGGTACAGCGCCTCGGCCTCGGCCTTGCTCTTCAGGGCGATCTCCTCGTACTGGGTGCGGACCTGCGCGATGATGCTGTCCAGGTCTAGGTCGCGGTTGTTGTCCATGGACAGGATGACGGATGTGTCACTGATGTGGGACTGCATCTGAGCAATCTCCTGGAGGACAGTTAGGGGAGGGGAGTCAGTTAAAGGTTTCCCAAGGTGGGGGTCCCTTTTCTTGATCCTCTCTAGCAAATCCCCTGCTTCCCCTTCCTGCCCTTCCCCGGCACATCAGCTCTGCCTTCAGCAGAGACCTGCAGTGCTCAAGCCTGTGGGTGTGAAATGAAAACATGGAGCTTTCCACCCATAGGACTGCCCTCTCCACCACACATGCAGGACTCCTCCCACCCTACCCACTCTCTCCGCACCAACAGCCACCACGGATCAGTCTGAACTCCTTATGTGACACTCGGTTCTCTAGAGAGTCACCAATGAACCCCCACTTCTCCAGGCCCCTCATACTTTAGCACAACTCCAGCTCCAGGTCTCCCCTAATTCTGCTCCTTCAGGCTGGAGTCCAAGCCCTTCCCTGCACCCATGGAAATCTTGCTCACCTTTCTCGTGGAACCTTCACCGACACCTCAGGCAGAATTCACCATTCCGCTGCTCTCCCAAAGCTCATTTACATGCTGTTTTCCCTACCGGACTATGGACTCCTAGAGGACAGGAATCATTTCTCCTCCATCACGGTCTCCTCAAAGCCTACCCCCACTGCTCAGCACATAGTAGGGCCTCAGCAAATGGCAGCTGTACTGACAATGTGGGTCAGTACAGAGGTCAAAAGGCCTCTCTGCCAACCCTTGGTCATGTGACCATCCAGGCCAAGGTCCAGAAACCACTTGCAAGAGGAACAGACCACCAGAGAGCTCAGCAGGGTCCTTACCCCTTCATAGAGGCACTTCAAGAACTTGATCTCATCTGTCAAGGAGTCCACTTTGGCCTGGAGCTCGACCTTGTTCATGTAGGCGGCATCCACGTCCTGGGGAACACAGAGAGAGACCTGCCTCTCCCCCTGCCCCTCCTCCTGCCACAAGGAGCCCCAGGTTCACTGCTCTCTCCCCTTCCACCATGCTTCACAGGGAGGCCCGATCCCTGAGAGCAAACCAACCAATGTGCCGGGCCACGGCTGCACCTGGATCTAAAGCTGGTAGCTTCTGGAAGCAGCATGCTGCCCAGGCAAGGGACCTGAAGAGATGAGTGGGACTATAGAAGCCTAGCCATCTCTGTCCTAGAGACTAAGTGACCCATAAGGGCCCTTTCCTCATCCTACAAACATCTGCATGCCAGGTCCCTAGGGAGCCCCCAGGCTTCTTCCAGCCCTCCCTACCCACCTCATACCTTCTTGAGCATCACAAACTCATTCTCAGCAGCTGTGCGTCTGTTAATCTCCACCTCGTACCTGCGTGGGGCAAGAGAAAGGAGCGTCACCAGTGGGACAGTTCTATTCTGTGAATGCTCACTGAGCAGGCAGCAATCGCCTCTGCGCCAAAAGCTGCAGGGCAGTGGCCCACAGCCTGGGCTTTACGTTCCCCTGGGGCACGGAGAGCCTTCTGAAAGGGGATGTGACAAGGACAGGTTTAAAGGCATCAGTGTGCAGCTCCTTCGCTCATAGTCAGGCTACCCTAAAATGTATCTACTTGGGAATGCATCTGTGATGGAGACATCATGCACGTTCTGCTGTCCCACCTTCCTCGTGACAACTGAAAGTCACCCCCCTCCCCACCAGCTGGCACCTTAATACGAGCCGTAGCCAGAGAAGAAAGCTCCCAGGCACCAAAAAAACGCTATTCCCTTTCTCTGTAAGTTATGCCTGTTTCTTACACAGGTGAAGCAAGGTCTTGGAAATAGGGTGTTTGGATGTGGGTGAGATATTCTCATTACACATGTATTGTAGCTTGGAGGGTCAAGAGCACTGATCATTTCACTTAAAGATCTCACTACTCCATCTGTTTCTATTAACAAAGAACATGTCACCTTGCCCCAGGGACTTGTAGATAGAGTATAAATATATAAGCAGAAAAGGGGTAGGTGGGGAAGGGGTGTGGGGCTCGGGTCTCACATCCCCTCTTCCCCTCTTGCCTTGCCTCCTATCCATGGGGCCTTTTGTTTAAAAAGAAGAATAAAAGGATTCTTTAAAGAACATAATACAGGATATTTGTGAGAGCAAATAAAATAGAGTATTGGAAAGAAATGTTTTGTGCCCCCAAAGGAGCTATTTTTCATACACATTAACTGGAGCAATTCTTCTCAGCCTTTTACTTCCTAAGTCATGTCACTGGCTGCCAAGAAAATAAAGTTTTGTTGGATTGCTGAAGTAGTACAAGTTAGTGAAGTGGGTTATTTAAAGTACTTAAACAGTGGGACATTTTCTGAAGACTGCCAGATTTTTCTAGTTGCACTGGGTAAAACACAGAAAAATAGCTTATATGATTTATCTCAGATTCTATGTGTGTTATTCAAAAGATAATTAAAAACTCCTTTCTATCAAGTTATACTATGAAAGAGTTGTTTCCATCACAATTTTATCTCATATTATCTTACATGTTATCACATTATATCCATCCTATTAACAAAAATAAAAGTATGTGCTAATTGGAGACCAATTAGCTTTTAGCACCTTACATCTTTCTACTTCATAAAATACATTGGAAAAGATGGATCATGATGGCTATCAAAATTGATGACATTCATGTATTATAAATAACTTCTCATCATTTACTTCTAAAAATTGAATATCAGAGTTCAATATACACATACAACATTTATAAAGAAAAACTGCGTTTTACATTACTATGGACTTAATAAATAACATATAATTTTTAAAAGCAGATTAAAATGCATAATTAAAAGTTAAACCATGACAAAGTACACATGGATTTATCTTGTTTTAGAATATAGATGTATTAATTATGTTAAATCTACATCATTTTAATCTTTAATGTTTTCAATAGCCTGCTGTACAAGATGTCACCCTTAGTTTATTGCTGAGTGGATTTTAAAATAGTCCTCAGTGCATGTTTTATATTTTGACTTGAATTTAGATATGAAGCCACACTTTTTCTGATAGAAAGAAACTCTTATTTCTCTGGTTTGACAACGAAAGCTAGCTTTCCAATTAAGCTAGATGATAGATGCTTTCTGTAAATTAAATGAACCAAAATTTTGGAAATTGTATTTGAGTGTGTACACATATTTAAAGAGGGGGCTCTCTGGGGGTGTTCTTTAAGCCTGTCCCCACAATCTGTGTGCTTTCAGAAGTCCAGAACTATGTCACCGCCGCCTTCAGGGGCTCCATACAGGGCTCAGGCCAGAGTTCCACTTTAGGGGGACTTCAGTAGAGATTGATGGGCAGATCAAAAGTGAACCAAGAAAAAGAGCTCAGTTCCGACCATCTTCACCACCTTGTGGAAGAAGTCATCTATCCCCAAAAATCCTAACACCTGGAAGCAAACCACCAAAATATCAGATCCCACCAAGCTGGGGCATCACTCTCTCTCCTCACAGGTTCAACTTAGAAGGAGAAACCATTTCCCGTCCAAACACACTCTCAACTGTTCTCTTTAATAGTGGGATTCAGCAGCATGGAGATGTCTCACCATGAAAAAAAACAACCTTTAAAAACTCATTTTTGCTTAGCTTTAAGATGTGTCCTGAGATTGGAAGGATGTTTCCTTCTATGGAGTCCTGGCGACTCCTATAGAAAACCTCACTCAGGAGAAGCTACAAAGCCATTTGGGTTGTTCATCTGGTTTTGAGACAGTTCTCTCCACACACACACTGCCCCCCCAACATCCTTCCATTTCCAATGTTTAAAATGAGCACATCATCTCCTGGGCAATTTGGAACACCATTTTGGGTAGATCTTTTCTCTTCCTACGTTTCATCCTATCTAGATCGCTCTCCCTCCCATACAAGAAAGAGTATTAATGATATCAGCAAAGGACTCAAGAAGACAAAATTGCTGGCTCCAAATCACAACCTCACCTATAATCAAGACCTTCCAGTGGCGTTTCTCCACCTCTCCACTCACCTCTTCTTGTAGTCCTCCACCACATCACGCATGCTCCTCAGCTCTGAGTCCAGCCTCACCCGGTCCCCGGACAGCGTCTCCAGCTGCTTCCGCAGGTTGCTAGTGTAGCCCTCGAGGATGGGCTCCAGGTTGTTCTTACAGTTGTTCAGGTCCAGCTGCTGCAGCAATTCCCACTTGGTCCCCAGCACCTGGTTCTGCTGCTCCAGGAACCTCACCTGGAAACCAAAGGTGGTCATAGACCCCAAACGCTCCCCCAAGTGCTCTTGCCTCTCAAGAGTGAGGACAGGGCCCCAGAAATCAGATGGTGTCATCCTGCAGCGGGAGTCAGGAAAGAGCGAGGTTCCTCAGAGAGTGGATTCAGCCAGAGGGACACGCCCACCTTGTCTCTAAGACAAGAAACAGGATCCAGTCTTAAATGAAATCAGGAAGTGGGTAGAAGCAATGCTGTCTATCATCTGCCACCATGACTTACCATGTGGTTAAGGCAGCATTTTTTGTTATAAATGCTGGTGTTTTTGGAGTGAAGGGAAATGAGAAGCAGGAATAAATAGTGACTGGGGAATGGCACTGGAAAGTCACTCTGGTAATTTGCATGTTCTTTCTTATATGACGTCTAAATCGCTCCTGGTTTGTTTCTTTCATTGGTTTTGGAAGCAGATTGTCACATCTTTAAACTCAACATTCAAAAAACTAAGATCATGGCATCCGGTTCCATCACTTCATGGCAAATAAATTGGGGGGAAAGTGGAAACAATGACAGATTTTAATTTCTTGGACTCCAAAACCACTGCAGACAGTGACTGAAGCCACAAAATTAAAAGACGCTTGCTCTTTGGAAGAAAAGCTATGACAAACCTAGACAACATATTAAAAAGCAGAGACATTACTTTGCCGACAAAGGTACGTATAGTCAAAGCTATGCTTCTTCCAGTAGTCATGTACAGATGTGAGAGCTGGACCATAAAGAAGAGTGAATGCCAAAGAATTGATGCTTTTGAATTGTGGTGTTGAAAAACACTCTTGAGAGTCCCTTGGACAGCAAGGAGTTCAAATCAGTCAATCCTAAAGGAAATCAACCCTGAATATTCATTAGAAGAACTGATGCTGAAGCTCAAATACTTTGGCCACCTATTGCAAAGAACCAACTTATTGGAAAAGACCCTGATGCTGGGAAAGATTGAGAACAGGAGAAGGGGATGACAGAGGACGAGATGATTAGATAGCATCACCGACTCAATGGAGTCGGTTTGAGCAAACTCTGGGAGATAGTGAAGTACAGGGAAGCCTGGTGTGCTGCAGTCCATGGAGTCACAAAGAGTGGGACATGACTGAGCAACTGGACAACAACAATCACTTCTTTACAAATCTATTCGTATTGACGGAAGGTTTTTCATTTTTGTAGTGAACAGTGTCAGGCCTCTGCTACACCAACATTCCTCTTCTTACCAATCTCTTTAGTTATTTCTTCCACTCCTGCCCTCTGTCTTCCAACTACTTCATTTACTCTTCCCAAGTACAGTAGTGAGGGATACAGGCTACTGTTGCTGCCTTTTCTATTATCCTGGCACATTTCTTAGCTTCCCTCTATCTTAATTTGAGCTTCTGCAAGATAAGAGTGATCACTGAATCATGGGTTGGTAAATGAGGACCACTTGGGTCAGCACCAGGCACTGAGGAGTGTCAGCTATTATTAGTATCATATCCCTCATGGTCTAGATCTTTCCAGGTGGAGACAAGAGAAGCCCATTCTTTGTCTCCTCCCATTCAGCAGGGTCACTGCCTATGACTCCAGAGTCATCTTCTCTGTTGCCCCAATTTCTGGACATACACACACATAATTTGACATGTCCTCCTTCCAAATTTTCTCCCTTCAGCACCTTCACTGTTCTAGCCCTTTCCTCTCACCTCCTCTAAAAACCTTACTGGTTTACATCCTTATCCCACTTCCTACCATCCAGGTCTTTCTCACCCACCAGGTATCCCGTCCTGGGACACCCCCTGTCCTGGAACTGCAAACCCATCTCTCTGTTTGGTAGTGAGAGCCCTCAGGGGGCCCACTATGCATCTCCTGCCACTGACACCTTTCCTGAGTCTTTTCCAGCAAGAAAGGAATGAAGCTCCTCTTTAAGGGGGAGGGGCGGGGTGAAGGTGTGCCAGGCACTGTTTTAAGCACCTTAGAAACATCCAATTCATCCTCATTATAAACTTATGGGGCTAGAGCTACTCTTGTGCCCATTTTACACAAGAGGCAAGGGAAGTTCAGAGAGCATAACCAACTTGCCCAAGTTCCCACGCCAGTGGCAGGGGCAGAGTGAGACCCGCATGTACACTGGTCACCAAGGCAGGGACGGGTAGACACTCCAGCACCAACCTTGTCAATGAAGGAGGCGAACTTGTTGTTCAGAGCCTTGATCTGCTCCCGCTCCTGGGCGCGCACTTTCTGGATCTCTGGGTCCAGCTCCACGTTGAGGGGGGACAGGAGGCTTTTGTTGACGGTGACCTGAGGGATGCCGCCCGGCGGGCACACGGACGGACACGCGGGCCCTAGCCCCGCGCTGCCGAAGACGGTGCCCACGAAGCCTCCCCGGCGGCCACCACCCGTGGCTGCGCAGGGACCCAGCGTGGAGCTGCCCCGCCCGGCCGAGGAGCTCAGGGCCAGGCGCCGGCCGCCCCCGCAGTTGAAGAGGCTCCTGCTGCCGAAGGTGGCAGTGCCCTTGACGCCGCTGGCCCGGAATGAGGCGGTGCTGCTGCTGACCCGGCTGGAGATGATGGCAGAGCAGCCGCTGAAGGCCAGGCGCTCCCCACCGGGGTAGAGGTTCAACTGGCGGCTCATGGCTGGGAGGTGGAGGTCACCGGTTGCTGGGTGGACAGGCAAGGGGCGCAGAGCAGCTGGGCTTTCTGTCCCTGCTCAGTCCTTAAATAGTCAGAGGGCTGGGCCGGCTGGAGTCAGCCTAATATGTAGTTCGTGAATATCTTTCAGGCCACCTAGGGCCTCTTGGTTCTCCATTTATGAAATTACCATCTCCCCTCTGAGATTTTTGTCTCTTCCAGCCTCAATTCCCCATGAATTCCCTATAAAATGGTCCCAAACCCTGCATTTGCTCTGCTTACCTCCTGCATTATAGTAATTTGGCTGCCTTATCTCTCCTCACTGCCCTGCAATCACTGGGGTTATCCCTACCCAGATCTCCAGTGGAAGTTCTCAGTGGGTCTGGCCTCTTTGGGTAGAGGAGGGGCCAGGGTAACAGGGTAACAGATGTCCAGGCTAGTTCTGCTTCAGAAGGACATGAACAAGGTCAAGAATATTCCAGAGTCCTGCTTAATCTGTCACCTGCTGTCTGTCCAGGCCTCTAGATGAAGTTGACTCTGGCCTCTCCTGGAAGGAAGTTCCAAGGAAACTTCTGGTCCGTCTGCAGGCACTTCTCAATCTGGGAGACCAGACATGGTGACAAATAAGGCTAGTGAGAGCTCTGGTCACAAGTGCTGGCAGATGGTTTTGGGCCAGAGCTAAAAGCTTTCTCCAGAAAAGCGTTTCTGGAACAAGAGTTGGGGAGACGTTATCTAGGATGGAGGGAAGAAGGTGGCCTGGGGAGATGATGCGGGAGAACTTTAGGAAGACGGCCTTTCCTGAGGTTTGGGGGTTGTTTCACTGTTGTCTGGTTTGGTTTGGAGGGTTTTGATTAGTTTTGTTTTTGGTTTGTTTGTTTGTTTGTTTTATGTCTTGTTTTTAATAGTAGAAGAGGATCATTCCTCCAATCAAGGAAACTTTGGTCAGGACATTTGCTGCCCTGACATCTCTGATTCTGGATCAACACATGATGGACTCTCAGGTCAGGAAAGGCCTCCCCCAGTCTGAAATTAAGACTCAGTTCTAGAACCTGATTCCATGTAAGCTCAGGAGCATCTTTCTTTGATCTAACTCAGCTTCCTTTTTTCCAAGTTGAGTTGCTTTCAATTCTTCTCTTCCCTGAGAAGCAGCTCCCTCCTGCTCCTCTGGCATCCAGGGGGTTCTGTTTCATCACTCTTATAGCTCAGTCTGTCTGAGTTCTAGAACTCTATCCCATTCCTCCATCAGATTGACAGGTCCCTCTGGATTAAGGTCCTTCCCTCCCTACTCCCCTGGGGTTCAGCCAAGGCCTTGGCATCAGGACATTCAGGACAAATGTGAAATAGACTGGAGGTCAGGATGAAGCTTGTGTTGTGTCTTCTATTCTTCAGTGGAGCCTCAGCTTCCCTTGGAACCCTAATGGGCCAGCCAGAGAGTGCCTGGGGGTAGATGACTGACACAGCCTCCACTGAACCAATCACAGAACATAATAACAGCCAAGGTGTTTACCCCACAGGGAACAAGGCTCTGGGGACACTGGTGAGTGCTGGAGGTGGCGCCAGCCACAGATAAACAGATAGAGGAGTCTGGGGTATCCTGAGGGGCAAGGGGTGGGCTCTCTTTGCTACCTAAGAGGAGATTCTATAGTCCATTCTCTCTGGAGAGGGGAGGACATCAGTGTGACGGGGTGATCATCAGGCCATTCAAGAAACTCAGGATTGTGCTTTCCATTATTTCATGAGATTTCTCCTTCTACCCCATGATTTTAGCCAGTGGTCCCACCCCCATGCCCCATGAACACAAAAATTAGTTTATAAGTTCTGGTCACTGAGTTTTAAAAAAGGTTTTAAATTGAAGCAGAAGAAACTTACATAGAATTAGCTTTCAAAGGGAGCCTTTGAAGTCTCCCTTTTCCTGGAAACCTTCTAAGAAGCTGAGACACTTAGCCATCTGATACCAAGCCATTTCTACCCAGAGTTAGGTGCTGGCCACCCCTAGGCAGGAACAGGTAAAGTGAAGTCACTCAATCGTGTCTGACTCTTTGTGACCCCATGGACTATAGCCTGCCAGGCTCCTCCATCCATGGGATTTTCCAGGCAAGAATACTGGAGTGGGTTGCCATTTCCTTCTTCAGGGGAATCTTCCCAATCCAGGGATTGAACCTGGGTCCAGGTAAAGGAACAAGTAAATGACCTTTTCTTATCCTCCAGTGAAGGGTCAACTGGATGGATGAATCAACAATTCCTCAACCCTCAGGCTCACCTTAGAGATTATGAAAAGGCAAAAGTGACACATCCAGGTTTCCGAGACATCAGATATGTGAGGATATCGGCAGATCAAAATGTGGCTGAAGCCTGATAAGCAGGGTTCTCATTTCACCTGCCTCTGACAGCTCACTGTATCACCTCAGGCCCTGTGACCATCTCTCCCATTAGTTCTGAGAAATGGCAACCCCTGGATTGCTAGATGGGGCCAGAAACAGCACCCTTTGAAACTAGAGCTCAGCAGTCTAAGATGGACGAAACTCATTAAGCAAGGATTTGCAGTGGGTCTCTTTTGCCCCAGAACACTAGTTCTAAGGAAATTAATAGATACAATGTACAAAAAAACTGTAGGGGTGGATTCCATGCTGGGTTAAAAAAAAAAGAGTTAAGGAAGCATCTTATTGCAGGATCCATTAATACACTTAGTGCTACTGCTACCAAAGAGTGAACAACATTCAGGGCTTTCATGCATGGTGACTGGGAAGTGAAATTCTAATTCTTTTTTTTTTATTTTTTAATATTTTTAAATTTTCTAATATAAGCATTTAAGTTTTATAAGTGAGCTTTTTAAAAATTTTACTTAACATTTTCAATTATTACAGAATACTGGCTATCTTTCCCCATTATACAATACATCCTTGAGTCTACCTTACACCTGAAAGTTTGTACCTCCCGCCCCATCCTGATATTTCCCCTCCCCCTTCCCACTGTTAGTATGAGTGTTGTTGTTTTTTTTTTTCATTTATTTTTATTAGTTGGAGGCGAAGGAATGTAGTGGTTTTTGCCATACATTGACATGAATCAGCCATGGATTTACATGTGTTCCGCATCCCGATCCCACCTCCCGCCTCCCTCCCCATCCCATCCTTCTGGGTCTTCCCAGTGCACCAGCCCTGAGCACTTGTCTCATGCATCCAGCCTGGGCTGGCGATCTGTTTCACCCTTGATAGTATACTAGTTTCAGTGCTGTTCTCTCAGAACATCCCACCCTAGCCTTCTCCCACAGAGTTCCAAAGTCTGTTCTATACATCTGTGTCTCTTTTTCTGTTTTGTATCTAGGGTTATCGTTACCATCTTTTTAAATTCCATATATATGCGTTAGTATACTATATTGGTGTTTATCTTTCTGGCTTACTTCACTCTGTATAATGGGCTCCAGTTTCATCCATCTCATTAAAACTGATTCAAATGAATTCTTTTTAATGGTTGAGTAATATTCCATTGTGTATATGTACCATAGCTTCCTTATCCATTCGTCTGCTGATGGGCATCTAGGTTGCTTCCATGTCCTGGCTATTATAAACAGTGCTGCGATGAACACTGGGGTGCATGTGTCTCTTTCAGATCTGGTTTCCTCAGTGTGTATGCCCAGGAGTGGGATTGCGGGGTCATATGGCAGTTCTATTTCCAGTTTTTTTTTTTTTTTCCCTGGGGAGCAGTAAGGGCTTTTTAATTTCTCTGTAGAACAAAGCACCAACATTATAAACACAGGCCTACAGAAATGCCAGTATTTAAAAAGCTTTACATATCTGAACAACGGTAAGTGACTTCTTTTCGTTGAACACAGCTATAAAAAAACATGCAAGAAAGTAAGAAACCATATTTATTGCTGCTTTGGTACAACCAGAGATGTGACCTCAAACCTTGAAAATAAATAATCTCATCAATAAAACTACTGAATGGTGGGGTATTAAGATTCTTTCTTTGCTTTCACATGGACGAGCCCCAAATACGGATGGGTTTGGATACAGTACAGTTCAGCAGAAAGGCAAGCTGACGCTGAGAACCCCACGGGTGTAAGGCAACCACCCCAAGTGGCACAGCAGCCGCGGAGTCCCCAGGAGCACAGTGATGGGATCTAAGCACCAATTCTGTGGACAGGAGTGGGGCTGCTGCTTAACTAGTCTGGTAAATCCTTGCAGAGCTGAAACGAGAGCACGCGCTCACTCCAAAATGGAAATAACTACTGCATCTGAGGTAAACCAAAGAGCGGTCTCTGTTTATTGGCACAGTGGCCTGTGACGTACCCCACACGGATAGCACACGTGAGTTCAAGGCCCTGGGAACGGGACTGCCGAGTCACTCAAAGGGAGCGGTGTTGTCTGTCTGTCTGTCTGTCTGATCCACTGCTCTGTGGCTCCCCTCAAAGAGAAAGGAGAGAGGATTTGCTGAATAGCACCATTGTCCTAAACCTGACGGTCAGATGGGATTTCTAGGGTACCGGTGAAGGGGGGTGTTGCTCCCCCAGGCGCCTTCCTCAGGCGTGGTTTCCACCGACAGCCACGTGGCACCATGCCCTTCACTGGCTGGGACCTTTGGTGTTGAACGCCCGCTGACCGGCCTGCATGGTGCAGGACGCTGGCTTGCAGAAACCAGGAGGGCCCGGGGGGCCCGGGGGGCCGGGCACACCGGGAATGCCCGCCGGCCCTGGGGGGCCTCGCTCGCCGTCCCGGCCGTTCCTCCCGTAGCTGGCAGGACCCGGGTCACCTGGGAGACCGGGAGCTCCTGGCAAACCTTTGGGACCTCTTCCTGGGGGACCACGATCCCCTCTTTCTCCTGCATCACCTTTAGGGCCCCTCACACCGAGAGCACCAGGGGGGCCCTTCATGCCTGGGAGACAGCGGAGTCCCATCTGGCCCGGAAAGCCATTCTCTCCAGGGGGGCCCGGGGGGCCGGGGGGTCCAGGCAGCCCAGGGAGGCCCGAGGCTCCGGAGTCTGGACGCTTGAGACTCGCAGCCATCTGAGCAAAGTGCTCTTGTATGACTCTCATGCAAACCTGCTTGATGTGCTGATCAGTCGGCGCTCTGCCCGGGGGGCCCTGGATCCCCGGCAGGCCGGTGGCGCCCTGCTCCCCCTGCAAGCCGCGCGGGCCCGGCGGGCCTTGGGGTCCTTCCTCTCCGGGAAGCCCCCGGCTGCCTTCGGGCCCCCTCAGGCCAGGCTCCCCAGGGTTCCCCGCAGATCCCTTTGGGCCAGGTAATCCTATATCTCCGAGTTCACCCCTTTCTCCAGCTTCACCCTCTTCACCAGAGGCGCCCTGTTCACCCTTTGGACCGGGTTCACCAACTACACCCCTGTCACCTTTCATCCCAGGAAGTCCAGGGGGGCCAGGCAAGCCAGGAAGGCCAGGGCTGCCAAGAGAACCCAGTTTACCTGGTGGCCCTGGGGGTCCCACTGGTCCTACTTCACCTCTGCTGCCAGAAAGGCCCCGAGGTCCTCGGGGTCCCACTTCTCCGGGCGGCCCCTGGCGGCCCGGTTTGCCAGAATTCCCCAACTGACTGGGCTTCCCTGGAGCACCTGTGTTACCCTTTTCACCAGTCACACCCTTTGCGCCAGGAATTCCAGGTATACCAGGTAATCCCTGCAAACCTGCTTCACCAGGAGGCCCGGGTTTCCCTGGTTCCCCCTTTGTTCCTGGCATTCCAGGTATTCCGTCACGGCCATCCACACCTGGCAAGCCTGTGTCCCCTTTGGGCCCAGGGAGACCAGGAATTCCAGGAGAACCTTGAGGGCCTCTGTCTCCCTTGGGACCTATTTCTCCTGGAGGTCCTCGCTGTCCTTGGTCACCAGGTGCACCAGGGAGCCCCTGAGGCCCAGGTTCTCCATCTAAGCCCCAAGCACCCTTTTCCCCTTTCTCGCCAGCTACGCCGGTAATGCCTCTCAAACCTTGAGCTCCCGGAGGTCCTTGAGCTCCAACTTCTCCCAGTCCGCCCTGGTCCCCTTCTTCACCCTTGTGACCTTGTCTTCCAGGTTCTCCAATCTCTCCTTTAGCTCCTTTATGACCCCTCATGCCTGGCAGACCTGGGTATCCCGAACGACCCGGTGGGCAGGAATTGGGACACAACGGATCTCCATCATGAAAACCAATTGTTCCACTGGGTCCCGGGGGGCCAGGGGGGCCCGGTGGTCCTCTTTTCCCAGGATCGCCAATCGGTCCAACACGGCCAAGCTCTCCAGGGAGCCCTGCTCCCCCAGGAGGACCAGGAGGTCCAGGAATACCACGGCCTGGAAATCCACGAGGTCCTGGCACACCAGGTTCTCCTTTCTGTCCTCTTGGTCCAACAGAGCCTGGGGATCCATCAGGACCTGTTAATCCGTCGGCGCCCGGTGTGCCCGGCTTGCCTGGAGCTCCTGGTTTCCCCGGCTCTCCAGGGGGACCCGGGGGGCCCGGGGGACCTTTTGGACCACGATCACCGTCGATGCCGTCGATGCCCGGGACTCCAGGGGGACCCGGCGGCCCCGGAGGACCCTGCTCACCTGGGGGGGCCCCTTTGAGCCGCGCACAAGCAGAGCCCCGACAGCAGCAGTCTCAGCCCGAGGGCCCCGCGGCCCAACGCCGCCCAGGCCATGCCCGCCGCGCGCGCAGTGGCGCTGGTCCCCGCCAAGAGCGCCCCCGGGAGCCGGGGATGCGAGGGGGCGCCGGCCCTATTTCCAGTTTTTTAAGGAATCTCCACACTGTTCTCCATAGCGGCTGTACTAGTTTGCATTCCCACCAACAGTGTAAGAGAGTTCCCTTTTCTCCACATCCTCTCCAGCATTTATTGCTTGTAGACTTTTGGATAGCAGCCATCCTGACTGGTGTGTAATGGCACCTCATTGTGGTTTTGATTTGCATTTCTCTGATAATGAGTGATGTTGAGCATCTTTTCATGTGTTTGTTAGCCATCTGTAAAAAAAAAAAAAAATTGGAGAGGAAAGTAGAATACTGATTCCAGTATCAGAAATAAAGTACTGTTATAAAAAAAAAAAATCAAGGCTTTCCAAACCTTTTTTTAGGTCATAGAGCCCCTCTCCTTGACCAAATGTAGGAATCAGGGTTTCAAGGAATATACTTTAAGAAATATTGAACAAGTTTTCTCTAGTCCACTATTAAGTAGACAAATTTCCAAATCCAAACAAATTTACAGTATCTCCTTAAAAACCTGAAGGAGATCTAAGTATAATAAATATAATGTGCAGACTGATCTAGTTTATAGCACCATGTCTCCAGCTACATTGTCAAAACCAAAGGAAAGTTGCTTATGTGGACTGGAGGGCAGATGCCAGCATCACCCCAACACCACTCAATGGAGTTACCATCTGGTGGTAACTGATGTCTGTCCCTACATTGAGGAAGGTGGTACCAGAGACTGCCAGTGCTTACCAAGTGCCCTTGGCTCCTCCCCATTCCCCACCCTCCTTTGGAATTTGGCTGGAGATTGGGGCCGTGATGGCCAATTAAGCGTGAGTGGCATTGAAGTTTGTCATTTCTAGAGTGAGGCAGTCAGCAGCCCACATACTTGTTGAATCTCTCTTTTCTCCTATCCTAGTAACTCTGGAAACTGGGTGTTCCAGGTTGACAGGGCTAGAAAACACAAGAGCCTAGGCTCCTGAGACATCCACTGTCATAACCATGTAGATGAGATGCCTTAGACTGGGAATGAGAAATGAACCTTTTTCATGTTAAGTTAAACCACTGAGATTTCAGAGTTTTCCCATGGAGGCAGTCAGTGTTAATTACCCGAATCCAAGCATAGAAGTTAAGTGATAGAAATCTCTCTTAATAGCCAATAATCTTTATTCTTAGTTCCTGTTAGTGAAATGTCTTCTTATCGCTTTTAGACCTTCTCTACTTTCCCTCTCACTTCAGCTTCTTGAAAGAAGAGTCTATCCTAGTAATACTAAGAGCTATAATAGTAACAGTGGTTTATTAACTACCATTTATTGAACACATACGATGTGGCAGTCACTAAAGTAAAGAATTCTCCTACATTCTCTCATTAAATGTAATTCTCATGACAGCTTTATGAGGGAACTACTATTATTAACCCCTTTTCACACCTGAGGAAACTGAGACACATGGGGCAGAAGGAGCTTGCCTAAGTCACACAGTGAGTGGTGGAGGAGGACCTCAGTTGGGTCTATCTGACGCCTAAGATCCAGGCTTCTCCCATGAGCTCTGCAGCACGAAATCCCAGCTCCTCAGCACACACAGGGCCTCTCTGATGTGGCTGCTGCCCATCTCCCCAGCTTCAGGTGCCACTGTCCCCTCCCTCTCCACCTTCGGAACTTCTTCAGCCTTCCTCTTCACACTCGGGCAACCGTGACCTACTTATACCATTTAGTGCCTCTGGATACAATGCCCACTTCTTCCTCTTGCCTGCCTAGTAAGCTCCATCCTCTCAAAACTCCATAGGTGATGCCTTCTCTGCCAGCCTCCCCTGACCTCCCTGAAGTTCCCACTCTCCTCTGTGCTGCCTCTGATTTCTTATGTTGCCCATATTCCACCTGGGTTATAGTTACATTTTTTTGTGGTTACATCTTCATTAAAAGTTCCTGCCAAATCGCTTCAGTCGTGCCCAACTCTGCGATCCTATGGACTGTAGCCTGCCAGGTTCTTCTGTCCATGGGGTTTCTCCAGGCAAGAATACTAAGAGTGGTTTGCCATTTCCTCCTCCAGGGGATCTTCCCAACCCAGGGATTGAACCTGCATGTCTTATGTCTCCTGCATTGGCAGATGGTTTCTTTACCACTAACGCCACTAGGAAGACCTTCATTAAGAGTTTGGACCCTTTTCCTTTTCTTTCCCCAAATAATTTTTTGTTGACTTTATTCCCATCTTTTATGATAAACTGATTTTCTTTTTCACATTAGAAATGAAAAAAAGTTGTATATATTTCATTTAAATGAAAATTTTTTTTCCTATTTGAGAATATGAAGTGATAATATTTAGATATATACCTAAAGATCAAGTCATAACCTGGAAATGCCATTGCCTTGCTTCTTTGACAGTACGAGAGGATACATTCATATATGCATTCCAAGTTCTTTGAAAGAAGACATAATCATTTTGTTTGAGACCTAGTTATAATCCTCCAACCCTTTCGTTTTGTCGGATTAATCAACAACTAAAATGATAGATGCAAAGAACTGACTCATTGGAAAATACCCTCATGCTGGGAAAGATTGAAGGCAGGAGGAGAGGTGATATGGGTGGATGGCATCACCGACTCAATGGTAATGAGTTTGAGCAAGCTCTAGGAGTTGGTAATGGACAGGGAAGCCTGATGTGCTGCAGTCCGTGGTGTCGCAAAGAGTTGGACACAACTGAGCAACTGAACTGAACTGAGAATAGATAGACAGAAATGGATATATATATTTATATATGTCTGTTTTGCTGACATTATCTGTTCTTCACATAAACCTTTTCACTGCATATGTATATTCATTTTGTTTCTCTTGACATGAGGATAGGGAAAACCTATTTAACTGCCAAGCACAACCCCCATTTCTAATAAAGTTCTTTATATATAATGGGCAACCAAGACTTATTTGATGGAGCATGGACCTTTTTCTATATTACTATATCCCCAACACTAACTCATGCCAGGCATGTGATAACTACTTCCTAAATATTCCTTGACTTGACCACCATTTCTTTACTGGCCCCAAGAGTGTCTTCCCTGTGACTAGTTATTCAGCCAGCCAGTTCTCCTTTGAGCAATCAATAAACTGCATATAGTTTATAAGATGGTTTCTTTAAAGTTTAGACTTTGTTAATTGCTTTACCAGCAGCTAAACACCTCTTTCAGTGAGCTCATTATGTTTTGAACCACAAAGATCAAGAACAAGATTCTGTTTCCACTTAACGTTTATTAAGCATGAACTTTGTACCAGGAATTTCACAGAACATCTTCATATTGCCTCATTTTAGCCTACCTACAATCTGGTGGTTAATTCTGCTTATTTTATAGCTATAGAAATGAGGCTCAAAGGGGTTGAAAGCTTTGCCCATGTTCACCACTTAGTTGCAGGGATTGAATCTGAATCCAAGGCTATCAACTTGAACTCTAATACTCTCTCTGGATCCATAATGATCCTGTTCAGATGCACCTGTGAGCCCTGGTCTCAATGTGTGCTAGCCTCTCACTTACTTTTTGCTTCCTGTTGCATGCTGCCAGCATGATTTTGGCCTGGGGGCCTATGAGAAGGCTCTGAGCACAGGAGTGTTTTGGAAGTTGAGTGACATGTAACAGAGATGGCCCCCATGCTTAAACACAACTCATACATACGTACGTGTACATTCACATCCATCTCAAGCCAGTAAAACTTCCCCAAGGATCAAGAGAACATGGGTCATTAATTAAAACAGAATCTGCCTTTGATCTTTGTCCAAAGAACAATGAACAGCCAAAACTTAAGCCCCAGGCTTTCTGGAACTGGCCTTCTGCTGCCTCTTGGCCAATTTTTTTTTAATTGGAGTATAGGTATGTTAGTTTCTGCTGTACAACAAAGTGAATCCACTATGCATGTACATATATTCTCTCTTTTTTGGATTGCCTTCCCATCTAGGTCATTTGTTCTCTATGACTGTGTCTCTATTTCTGCTTTGCAAATAGGGTCATCTGTACCATTTTTCTAGATTCCATATATATGTGTTAATATACAATATTTGTTTTTCTGTTTGGCCAGTTTTAAATTTTGCCACGAGACAAATGTTGGCTTCCTGTCTGTCCCTACAATCTGAATGTTCTCAAAGATGTTTCCATTCACCCATGCATTGACCTGAGAAAAGCATGACTTCAAAGTTTCATCTGCTGGAGATGGTGGACAGAGATAAAGCCTCAGTATCACAAAATCCAATGAAGGTGACCATGGGGTCCTGCCATCCATGCAAGGATGTCTTTCACTCAGCTCAAAGGTTACTTTGGGGTTCTTTAAAGACACCAGGCCTCGGGTTCCAGGACATTGACCTCTATTTACAGGAGATTTTGCCTAAGAGGTAGATTCCCTTAGGAGAGAGAAGCAGCATTAGTTGTATAAATTTATTGGTAAGATGAGGAAGTAGGGAAGAAAGGCCTGAACGAGGACAAAAACGCACATGCTGAGAGCACAAATGCCTTCACCGACGGGCCAGTCAGCAGGGGTTCTCCTGGCTGTAGTCTGCAGGGACCATGCGAGGTAAACTAATGCCCAAGGTTTCCCCAGAGCTGATGCTGATCTAAGAAGGGATAGTCCTTGCAGGTCTGTCAGTGGACCTGTAACTGTCTGTACCCATGGAGCACATGGCCAAATAACTCCCTAAACCAGTGCACAGAAAGGGAAGCAGGAGGACTGGGATTGCCCTTGAAACAAAAGCTTCATCTGTGAGGGGCTTAGAGCCAGGAAAGGGTCTAGTCTTTATCCCTGGCAATTCTGCAGGAAGGGGAGGCTGTATTAAGAAGCCTCTTAGTATGGAGGCAGAAGGATGGGCTAGCATCCTGACTCCTCATTAAGAAAGACTAAGGTAGAGAGTTGCAAGAGAGGAGACAACAGCGGTGCAGAAAAGCAAGGAGAAGATGATGACAAGTGTGATGGAGGAATTTCCTGAAGAAGGGAGTCCAGGAGAAACCAAAGCAAGCTGTCTGGACAGCTGTCTTTCACTTTATCTTGGGGTCTTCTTGGTGGGTGAGCTCAGAGCTAGGGTCTTTCCCGGCAGGTCCTTGATTTCACTTGTACTCCCCAACCTGGTTTTGGCCTCCCCGCGGGGGCTGCAGTTCCCACTGCCAGTGACACAGCCCCCCGGCAGGAAGCCATAGCCCCCGCCGACAGAGCTGGGCCGATATCCATAGGTGCCGGTGCCACTGTACCCAAAACCGGCTCCTGTGCCTGCAGTCCCGGCCATGGAGCTGCTGATGACAGCTGTGGAAGACAGAGGGAGGACTAATAAGTGCGTTTCCCAGGATAGGGCTGACCCGAAGTCCTCTCCAGCCTCCCAGCTCTAACTAGATTAAATGTGTCCCTCCTAAGTAATACTCCACATCAACTGGGGACTTGGCTTTAGTGACATATGCTCAATTCCTGAACAGCTCAAGTACCAGGGGAATCAGCTCAGATCCCACAGGACCCCCAAGCCCAGAGCCTTCTCATTCTTTGAACAAACAAGAGTAGCAGGGGCTTCCCCCAAAGAGCAGATGACACCTAAGCATCATGTAAGCCAGCAAGTCTTGCGTTTAACTTAAGAAGACATTCTTAATTTTTTTCCAAAGAATTTCCTGAGTGCTTGATACAGGAGAGTTTTTGCCGGCTTCTCTTAGGAGACCAGGCTGAACCCTTTGGGGCAGCATCGAAACTGCTTGTGCACCATGTTTCTATGCACACCCGGGTCTCACTCCGGGTGAGGAGGTGACCCTCTTCCTACTCACAGCTTCTGGCAAGCAGCAAAGTCACGATGGGGGGTGGCAGAAAAGCATGGGGCTGAGAGCCTTATGAGTGAGGTTTCTGGGGAAGGGGCCAGAAATGGGGAAGTGTGAAATGTCAGAATGTGATGGGAAGCTGACCCCATCAAGGAAGAGGCTTGCAGGTCTCAGCACAGGAGGTGATTAGGACAATGTTGCTCTAGCAGGCAGAACCCAGGCTGTTCCATGGGGGTCCTGGTGGTAGGGGACCTCTTCCTTTGTGTTCATTAATGGGCTAAACGTACTCTTTCGGAGGTGTGAAATACTCACATATGCTCACAGAATTGGTGTATTCTCCAGACATCCTGCAAGGGGACAAAAGCACAGATGAATCTCCATCACATGGAATTTGAGTTACCCTCATCCCAGCCTGCAGCCATCAGCCAGGCTAGTGCAGCCTCCACAAGTCCTCCATCTGGCCAGGTGGCATGAACTGCCCTGGGTGACTCTAAGCACCTCTCTCTAGTCCTTCTCCTTCTGAGATGTGTGAACTTGCAACGCTGGAGCCCCTGTGGCAACACCACCTCCCAGGGGCCCTCCTGCTGTGCTTCTCATCAACCCACTTCATCCCTGTGGGGCTACTGCCTGAATAAATACATGTGTAGAAATACTAGCATCAGGAGTTGCTGCTAAGAAACTAACTCTATGATATTAGGACCAATAACTCCTCTTCTCTGGGTCTCATTCATAAAATGATGCTAGGTTAGGATGGGGATTTTCAAGTGTCAACACTTCATGTACTACCCTTTCAATTGTTGCTATGACCACATATAACTCATACTGTTATATGTTTAGTATTTTTCATTGACTATCTTCTATGGCAAAAATATTTCTCTTAAAAGGAAGTTTTATATCAATAGGGTGCATAGAAAACCAGTATCTCTGGACCAAAAAAAGACAAAAACAGTAGCAGTGAAAATAAATAAAACAAAAAAATATTTGGCTAGATATTGTTGTCTGCTCAGAGACTTTGAACCTAGGATCTACCATCTCTTTACTAATAAGGATATTTGCAAGTGTCAGATCAGTGTTAAATATACAAGAGCACCACGCTGAAGCTTTCTCCTTATTGTAGTCTGAAGACTGGAAAGAAAACCATAAAGGAAATCACCATCTTATTATCTGACTGGATGCTGTTTAAGGCTATGTTTGTAGGTGACCTAAAAAGTATCTCCAACCCCTCCAACAGTCTGCCACCCACACCTGGGAAATTAAGTCAGAGGATTCCAAAAGTCCTTCCAGCCCTAACATTCTAAGAGCCCTCCCATCACCTACCTGCACTCCTCGCCCTCCAGCAGCTTGCGGTAGGTGGCGATCTCGATGTCCAGGGCCAGCTTGGTGCTCATCAGCTCCTGGTACTCACGCATCATCCGGGCCAGCTCCTCCTTGGCCTGGAGCAGAGCAGTCTCCAGCTCATCCAGCTTGGCCTGAGCATCCTTCAGGGCACAGTGGCCTCGCTGCTCAGCATCAGTGATGGCCGTCTCCAGGTTGGAGCACTGAGGACCAGGAGGTGACATTGTCCCCTGAGTCCTAAGGTACCTTGAGCCTCCCTTCACTGCCTCCCTCCAAGTGCTCACTGTGGTTGGACCATGCTCTATCCTGCCCCACTTCCTAGAGCAAAGCCACATCCATGGAGTTAGTATCCTGTCAACCTGGAACTGAGAGGCTTCTTATTCTCAGCCCCTTGGCTTTCTGAGAAGGCCTTTCCAATTGTTCCAGGATTCAGGTGAGAGCTAAGTGTGGAAGGATGCGAACAGAGGCTCCATCTGAGGAAAGGAGTTCTAAGATGGAAGACCCTGAGAAGAAAGGACATGAGTGTGTGATTGACAGTTCACCCCTCCCTTGGGAGTGAGCCAGGAAACCCCAAAGCCCCTTCACCTGCTTCTTCACATTCTCAATCTCTGAGCGCAGCCTTTGGATGAGCCGGGTCAGCTCTGAGATCTCATTCTTGGTGTGTTTGAGGTCATTCCCATGCCAACCGGCCGCCAGCTGCAGCTCCTGGAACTAGGGTGAAAGGGGCCAACACAGGAACCTAAGCTCAGCCTAGCAGGTTGTGCTTTTGCCTGGGGAGTGTGGCAGAGGTGGGTAGGGGTCCCCAGCTTCACCAGACCTATCAACAGCCTCCTGCTCAGACATCTGTTCTTTGGCTTGATTTATCTGCCTTCAGCAGAGATGATCTCACTGAAGGTTTTGGCCATAAGGACAGTCAAAAGTCTCACACCCTCTACACTGCAGCTTTGCAATACGTAACCTTGATTATGATACTCCCCTGCCTATAGCTCTTCAAAGTCAAGGTAAAATTCAAACAACTCCTAGCCTGGCATCAAGGTACCTTGAGATCTGACTCCATTAGGCTCTTCAGGCTCAGTTCTTACTGCCCTCACCCATCATCTACCCAGCTCCCCACCTCTGCCAAGCAGTTCCAGGTTCCATAAGGAGCCCCTGTGCTCTCAAATCTCTGAGTCTGTGCATGAGGCCCTCCCTCCTGCTAGAAAAGCCTCCCCCATTCATCCTCTCTTTTCCCCTAATCAGGTCCAACTCAGCCAGTGCAGACTCCCTTTCTCCAGGAGGCCTTCACTAAGTCCCTGCTTGGGTGCCCATCTGTGCCCATAGTCCCTGGCATGCCAGTCTGTAGACTTTACCACTCTGTTCTGTGACCACACATTTCAATGTCTTTCCCATCAGAATCAGAATGACTGGGTGGCAGGCACCTCTAGTCTTACTTCTGAATTCCCAGTATCTAGCACAGAGTCTAACTAGAAAAGAGGTCTGGAGAATGAATGAATGAGTGAACCAAAGCGGGAGCTGATGAGCCACCGGTCTATTTTTTCTGGGACTTCCTCCCCTTCATAGCTCAGCTGAGTTCTAGGCTACTGGCTGTCCTGCTAGACATGGAGGTGCATTTTGTGTGTATGTGAGTGCGGGGGTAGATTTGGTTATATCCTATCACCATGGGTCATGAATTTGGAGTTATCTATTAGTTTCAGATTATTCCTGCATTTGATGTCATCCATTGAATAATCAACAGAAAGTACTCCATTTTTACCCCAGAATATGGTTATCTCCATCACTTCCAGCTAAATGACCATGAAAAGGGACATAAGGGGGACACAAAGACCATGTGACATTCAGAACTCCAGTGACTATGCACTGCCTGTCTGTCTCTGAGGGGTTGGCTTTGCCAGTTGTCTAATATCTGGCTCCAGCATGGTCCAAGAGTCAGGGTTCTTCTTAAGGATGCCAAGTTCCCTGGAAGGCAGGGGGAGCTTCTCACTGTGCTCTGTGTTTTATCTTTAATGCCAGGTCAGGTGGTCTTCTGCATCTCTACACAATAGCCCTCCTCACCAGAGCACTAAGTCCCTGATTCTGACACCAAGTTATCTCCCCCTGAGACAGGAGATTAAACTCCTGCCATTCAGCTCCCAAGCCACCCCAAGCCCTTGTCATAAATCGTTCTCAACCAGAGTCACCTCCTGACTTTCTGTCTAAATGCTATGGAATATCAGACATGTAGATTCAGATCCAGTTCCATCATTTATCAGCTAAATGACCTTGGAAAGTTATTTAAACTCCTTAAACCCCGCTTCTTCACCTTCAAAAGGGGAGTAATAATAAGCATTCACAGTACTGTTTCTGGGATGACACTGATGCCATTCTGCTCAGTGAGTACTTGCCCTGAGCTGGAGAAATCCTGGTGTGAGTAACCTCAAGAAACAAATAAGCCCACATCATGTTTATGCCTAATTCTTCTAGAAGGAATCTGGGGTTAAGCACCATCACTGACAATCCAGAATGATTGGGCCACATAGCCATCCCTGATCCTGGCTGGAGGCTGGAATGTAGAAGGATTTGGGGACTGAGGACTTGAGTTTGAACCTTTATCAAGAAGCCTTGGCCTGAGTTGTCTTCTAGGCCATGAAATCCTCCCTTCCTCACACCCTTGAAGGTCAAGTCTTTCTGCCCCTGAGGTAGCAAGGGGGCAGGGGGAGGGTCAAGATAAGGTCTCAACAGTTTGGGTTTCCCTTGAGAAGGAACCTGATAAACCTCAAGGACAATTAGGAAGTCGCCATCTTGATCTGAGAAACTAAATTATCTGAAGACTCATTTCCCCACCCACAACCTATTAGAGGAGTTAAGATCTAAGGGACTCAAACCTACCCCTTTCTCCTTGGAGTTGGACTTGAATGAAAAGATAGGAGTGACCTGATCTCAGATGAGATCCCCTAATTTATTGTCATAAACAAGGGAGTTGAGATGCTAACTACCCATGTTTTCCTTCTTCCCAGAATTAGTTCAAAACTCTCAGCCTCTAAGGACATGGCTCCTGACTTGCCCCACCCAGTCCTAGTTCCCTAACCTCTGTCTCCCCAAGGTTCATGTTTCTGTGACACACTCATTTGCACTCAGCTATGTGTTTTCTCTGATGGCTTCATGGTTCCTAAGGACAGAGCTGCAATCTCTTCCTTCTCTGGGGCTTCCCCCGGCACCCTGGACAATGCTGTGCTCCCAGCAAGCATGTGGGCCATAATGGGTCATGGGATGGACCAGAGGCTCTGGAACACATGACCCTGGGGAGGTGTGCAGCTCACCTTGGTCTGGTACAGTGCCTCGGCCTCCGCCTTGCTCTTGAGAGCTATGTCCTCATACTGGGCCCGGACCTCAGCAATGATGCTGTCCAGGTCCAGGTCCCGGTTGTTGTCCATGGACAGGATGACAGATGTGTCACTGATGTGGGACTGCATCTGAGCAATCTCCTGCAGGGGCAACAAGGAAGCTTGAGCTGCCTTTTGTGAGCAGAAGAATGTGCCAAGGTGATGGGCCTGGCCCAGGAGGGAGCCCCCCAGACCCTCCCAAATAGACTCAAGTTGTGGTCCCCAAACTTCCAAGAATGGAGTTCACTGGTCCAGAGGTTCCAACACCACATCTAAAACTGCTGGGTGGTTTTTGAAGTAGCTCAAGAAGAAACCGACCCCCATGACTGTCACCTGAGATAGGTTAGGAGTGCAGAAGGTGGAGGGGAGAGAGCCTGGCCATCACACAAGGGATAGTAAGGACATCTGAGAGCCCATGAATGGGCCAACAGGCTGAGGCTTGAAACCAGATGGTCACAGAGGCGGTAGTAGAAAGGGTGTGAGGATTTTCACCTCCATCCCTGGGGACTCATGCCTAAGACCCGAGAAAATTCCCAAGCCACAGAGAGAAGACAAGCAGAAGTGAGAATATGCTTGGCTGAGGGTCAGTGGGGACCCCTTAGGGCCCCATGGCTTCCTGAAAGATGTGAGAGGGGACAGCTGGTGGCCAGGCTGGAGTGGATGGCACACATCATCAGATGAACCAAGATTGATGTCACTCTTGCTTTGCTCTACAAAGCTCCCAGCGTCCCAACACTGGAGATTCCCTGGGCTCTTAAAGTTCCTGATGAGTTAGTAACCACTCATTCACATGTCCTTCCAGATGATTGAGCCAGGATGGGGACAGGAACTGGGGGAGACTTACCCCCTCGTACAGGCATGTAAAGAACTTTATTTCTCTCTCCAGGGCATCCACCTTGGCCTGCAGCTCCACCTTGCTCATGTATGCCACGTCCACATCCTAGGGGAATCCAGAGAGCCCCTGACATCGCTCTTCAAGCCCAGACAGAGGTCTCCCAGGCGCTGGCCCCCCAGACCCAGTTCAGTGACTAGCTGCCCCCAAAAGTGGAGTCAAGACACAAGGATCAAGAAGTGACCCCCACCCAGAACTCACTGCAAGACCCTGAGCAGGTTACTTATGCCTCCGGAACTCCTCTTGCCTCATCCAAGAATGGAATCTTTTTACTGCCTACTCTGTCTCAAAGAGAGTATGGGAGAGAGCCCTACCTCCCTATGGTCGGTCACACGGTGGTCAGAGCTGAAGGTGACCAGAGACAGAGTTGGAAGGTGAACCTGCAGCCCTTCTCAAAGCATATGCTGTTTATGCATATGCTTTGGCCTGGGAGTGACTGTCCACATCTGCACTCCTGCTCATTTACACAAGACATAGGCCTCGACAAAGTGAAGTGTGCTAGATAAACATCTAGGTGTCCCCAGGCCACAAATCCCTCCACCTTCTCCTGTGGCCCTTCAGCTCCAGGCCCTTCTGCAGGGGGTAGAGACTCCAGTCTTTTCTCTGATTCACCTCCCTCACCCCCTACACTCTTCACCCTGCTGGACCGAGGGACATGCATTCTGTCCTCACCTTCTTAAGCACCACAAATTCATTCTCAGCAGTTGTGCGCTTGTTTATTTCCTCCTCATACCTGCAGGAGAAGCATCATGAGGAGAAGGGTGTGTGTGGGTGTGGGTGGGTGTGGGTGGGTGTGGATGGATGTGTTCTCAACATGATAGAAGAGATGCAATGCTCATGTTATGTACCTTTTAATAGATATTATTTTACATTTTTGCAAATCTGACTCATTAGGACTATGTGGCCAACATCGTGGGCAGGGTTTGAAGCAACCTCCTCCTGGATCTGGGGACCGGATGGCTTAGGTCTAGATTTCCTCTGAAGCCTGGAGAGTGAAAAGGTTCTTCATCCTCCCTCTCTGTCCAGATCACAGGAACATGCCACTGTCCCTCTCTCAGTCATGATTCTTGTGTCACCCCAGCTGCCTGACACCCCTACCAATAACTTCACCCCATTGCCAAGTGTGAGTCCCAAGGAAGTCAGACAGCCCCCTAGGACAGGAGGAAGGAGCATGGCCTAAATGTCTAGGATCTGAGGGAAGTGAGAGGAAGCCCAGTGGAAAGTACAGCTCCCAACCCAGTTGGGCAGTTCCTGGGAACTTGGGGCCAACTTGAAAAAACTTAGGACCCGAGAGTCTATGGTATACACACCTGGGCTCTCGTGAATGGAGAGCAAGAGAGCCACCAACGAGGACAGCCTCACCACTGCCCGAAATGCTGGCTGTCCACTCTTTAACCCACCTGGCCGCCCAGAGAAGGCCCTGATCCTGTCTGGGCAGAGGATCTCAGGATGGGTCACTCTCACCTGAGGCCAGAGGCATACATCCCAGTGCCTGTGGGGAAAGCCTGGGCCCAGGAGGCGGTCAGCTTGGGTTCCACTCACCTCTTCTTGTAGTCCTCCACCACATCACGCATGCTCCTCAGCTCCGAGTCCAGCCTCACCCGGTCCCCCGACAGGATCTCCAGCTGCTTGCGCAGGTTGCTGATGTAGCCCTCGAAGATGGGCTCCAGGTTGTTCTTACAGTTGTTCAGGTCCAGCTGCTGCAGCAGCTCCCACTTGGTCCCCAGAACCTGGTTCTGCTGCTCCAGGAACCTCACCTGGAATCGAGCCAGCCAATAGTCAATGGCAAGAGGCCAGGGAATTTCTTTCCTGGACAGTAGCTATGTTCCCTTACGTTATGTAGCTTCATCCCTCAGAAAATGATTCTCCTACCCCTTCCCACCCAGGTCCTTTGTCTGACTGCAGTTTTCTTTTGGGGAGCAGCCACTGACGTCAGGAGGGGCCTCACCATCCTCCCTCGCCCCTCATCAAGATCTGTCTTCTATGCACCTGTCCTTACCTGCCTGGACCAGTGTCGATAGTTAGCCTCATCCACCTTTCTTGGGTAAGTCCTTAGACATGTAATCTGGCCATACTGGCCTTCACGCTCTTGGGGACCCCTTCTCTGGGTTTCTGGTGGTCTGGCCTGTGCTCTGCCTACTCTGTCTCCTTCATCACCATCTCTCCCAGCCCAGCCAGAGGCCGGTATCCAATTGATCTGGGGTCTCATGGTGCCTTCATCTCTGGCTGCCTATGATCTCAGAGCATTTCCCCAGGGAGTGAACCAGCCTGCTCAATTTGCAATCTACGAACATTCCATCATTCCCTTGCACAAAACCCTCCAGTGGCTCCACACCACCTACAGGGTCAAGCCCAAATTCCCTTCTTGTGATTTTCCAATGTGCCAGTGCCATTCCCACAATTCGCCCAACACACACAAACTGCATTTCTCCCCACTCTTCAGACAAGTCTCATCAGGCTGCACATGATTCTTCCGTCTCCTTAGGTTGCCTTTCTCCACCTCTGTCTGGCAAACTCCTACCCATGCGTCACTGCCCTACCTCACTATCACCCGTGGTGAGCTTCCCCTGCTCCCATAAGCTTGGAAAATGTTTACTTCCCCAAACCCTTCTATCCTTTTGCTCTTTAGTGGTCCTCAAACATGAGAGTGCCTCGACATCACCAGGGGGCTTGTTAAAACACAGTTTTCTGGGCCCCACTCCCAGAATTTGTGGTTCAGTAGGTATGATATGGAGCCTGAGAATGTGCATTTCCAACAAGTGCCAAGGTGATGCTGGCCCTATCGGTTCATGGACCCCTTTTAAGAACCGCTGTTCTAGCATCGAAACATGTATATTATCTAGGGTGAAACAGATCACCAGCCCAGGTTGGATGCATGAGACAAGTGCTCGGACCTGGTGCACTGGGAAGACCCAGAGGGAACGGGTGGAGAGGGAGGTGGGAGGGGGGATCGGGATGGGGAATACATGTAAATCCATGGCTAATTCATGTCAATGTATGACAAAAACCACTACACTATTGTAAAGTAATTAGCCTCCAACTAATAAAAATAAATGAAAAAAAACAAAAAGCCGGTACACTAGGACAACCCAGAGGGATGGGATGGGGAGGGAGGTGGAAGGGGATTTTGGGATGGGGGACACATGTACACCCATGGATGATTCATGCCAATGTATGGCAAAAACCACCACAAGATTGTAAAGTAATTAGCCTCCAATTAAATAAATTAACTTAAAAAATCCTTTAAAAAAAAAGAACCGCTGTTCTAGCATACCACTGATCCCCATCTGCCTTGCCTTATAGTTTAGGGTGTATTATAGGTTATGAATCTGTCTTTCAACCAAAGTCTGAGCTGGTCTGAGTCCCATGAGAGGAGGAGCTGGGCCTTAGAATTTCTAGATATCCTAAGTTGCCATGGACCTTGTGTTTCTCCAGGAATTCCCACCTTGTCGATGAAGGAGGCGAACTTGTTGTTCAGTGCCTTGATCTGCTCCCGCTCCTGGGCACGCACTTTCTGGATCTCAGGGTCCAGCTCCACATTGAGGGGAGCCAGGAGGCTCTTGTTGACGATGACCTGGTGGATGCCCCCAGGTGGGCACAGGGATGGGCACATGGGCCCCAGGGCCACACTGCCAAACATGCTGCCAGCAAAGCCACTGGCTCGGCCTCGGCTAAACCCATAGCCCCCTGCCCGCCCACTGCCACTGGCCATGTTGAAAGAGACGCTCCGGGCACACCCCAGGCTGTACAGGCTCCGGCTTCCAAAGCACCCACTGAGCCCTTTGCTCCCTGCCCTGTAGGAAGGTGAGCTGCTCCCAGAGAGGACAACTGAGCATCCACTGAAACCCCCCTTGGCAGCGGCTCCCGACTTGTAGGTGAATTGGCGGCTCATGCTGGGGAGGCCAGCGAGGTGGAATGAGATGCCAACCCTTAGCTGAGATGCAGCTTCTCAGCCTGTGGTCTCAGACGCCTCCTTTATAGGGCTCAGAAGGGAGCCACTGCCCTAATTTGTGGGCTTATTTTGCCTGGAGCAAATCATTTTTTCCCAGCAAAATCAGAGACACACCGGGCAAATAAGTTAAACCTCCCAGAGTGCTAGGCTTGCAAGCCTTGCTCCTGTAATTTGAGTCTTATCTAATTAACGTGGGATAATTAGGCTGACTGAATTATCCCTAGAAAGATCTTGGGAAGTTTGTCACAGCCTCAAGATTGCCCTTCCCCAGGGCGTGGGAGTGAGGGGACCAGATTGCGGGGCTGCAGAGGGGAAACCTTTAATTGACAGCATCATCTGTGAGAGACTTCACGACTGTACCAGAATCAGATGGGCTGCATCCAGAACCCTGGCTAAGCTGCTTTTATGTGGTTAGAAAGAGACTCCATGGCCTGACTTCCCAGGGTTCCCGGAGGCAGTCCTCGTGGCTGGCCTGGGCCATGGCAGATGAGCCCACCAGGAATCCAGGCCCAGTCCTCTAGTTGCAGGGCCTCTGTGCCTTCCCAGGCTAGTCTCCTGCTCCTCTGTGCCAACCAGGCTGCCCTGTACACCTTTTGCTACACACATTGGACCCTCCCATCACTGCCACCCTTAACCTTGAAGTTATGGTATTGTCACCATTCACAGTGGCTAACACTGTTGCAGCACTTTCCGATATTAAAATAGCTCCTCATACACAGAAGCTCATTTAATTCACTAGACCTGGAGAGGAGCTGTGAGGGTCCACCTTTCACAAATGGAAAAACAGGAACTCATATGTTTGCTGTTATAGCTGAGGATCACATTTCATGAGCCTTTCTTTGTGTGAGTCCCAGAGGAAACAGCAGGCCCTGGTCTTAAGAACTCCTTTGGTTGGTCTTCTGACCCCACATTTGAAGCTCTACAGGCCTTGTTTGTCCAGCCAGCCAGCCACCATTCATGTGTTTGTTCATCCATCTGTCTGTTCATTTAACACACTTCTGTTGAGAGTTCACTCTGTCGCAGGTCTTAAACTGGGTTCTGGGGTCATAAATTAATAAGACAGAAGCCCAGTTCGCAATTCTAAGGGAGAGGGTAGACATTTGAATTTTAATAGATCCTTGATATTACCAAAGTATATGACCCAAGAGTCTCATAATTTCCAATTCCAAATACATTCACAGAACATACTTTCTCCATAAAAATGCAATTGTTTCACTAGGCAAGTGCTCAGATGAACAGTTTGCCAATCCCTCTTTTCCATTTCTGTGTAGAGATTTTGGCCTTACTCTGTATTATAACAGTATGATGCTTCTACAACTATTGTACCAAGCAATTGCCAAATTCAACCTCCTCTTCTTTTTTATACAAAAAAGCTCTTTTCTAGTTAAGAATAATCATTTTCTTGGACAGTCTCAATTTCACTATCAGCAATAGTCCTTAGCAATCTTTTCAGTCTTCTTTCACTAGACACAAAGGTTTTCCCCTCTGCAGTTTCTTCACAGCCATGAAGCAAGGCTGTGCTGTGATGAGGACACAGGGTGTCCTAGCCAGGAACACACCCTAATTGATTCCTTTCCATATGTCAGTGTCATGATTCAGACCCGTGGTGTCTCAGCAAATCTGTTCAATACAGACTGCTGTCATGGGCCTCGAGCTCATTCCCTAAGGGCTGAAAGCAAGTGTTCACGCTCAGAAGGCAGTGCAGTGTGTGAGTGCCCTCGCCCTACAGGGGCTTGACTTCCCCTCTCCCACACTGGCCTTCTCTCCTTGGGAACCTGCCACAGAGATACCCTGGAAAACCTTCTCTGATCACATCCCAGTCTAGCCACTCCTCTCTGGCCAGCTTCCCCAAACTGCACCGATTGTCTATGCTAACTCCCTGTCTCTACCTGTGTTCCAGGTGTGTGCCAATCCTACCAAGCAGCCGAAAGTTTCCTGAGGACAAGATCCAAATCCCATCTTCCCTCTACTCCTCTCTAGTTACTGCGCAGAACTGGGGTGGAGGAAGGGGTCCCAGGAAGTCATGGAGGAGACAAAGAGATGCTTCAGTGACCCTTGAAAGCATTTCTCCTAAGGACAGTATCCTCAGCTTAGATCTCTCCTAAGTGGCTTTTCAAATAGTGGGTCCCTTGCAATTCATATCCTGGCCCTGCCCTCAATGTCTACTGAGACATTGGGGAATGTCTACTGGGGAATCAATGTCTACTGAACCCTTATCTAATTTTCACATAGTTACAAAGTCAGCCCCATTTCCCACAGAGGGGCAGGCAGTGCTACCATGAGCCTTTGCCCAAGCCTCTGGGACAGGCATCTCTGAGGAATCATCCCAAAGGAAGCAGAAAGCCAATCCCCATCCCCCTCATGAGCACTAAAATCATGTTGTAAAAGAATATTTAGTATTTCTCATCCAGAAAAATGGAGCAGACAGACTCTTCTGACACTGCTCTAGCAGGAGAAATGGTGTGAACTCACTCCACTTACCATAACTAGAAACCTGGATATCACATATATAATAAATATAGGAAGATCTTAAAGGTGGAGAGAGGAGGTACAGCAACCAGGGGCTTCAGGAGCCAAGGATGGTGGGATTAATGTATAAACACTACTATATATAAAGTAGGTAACCAACAAGGACCTATTGTATAGCACAGGGAACTATGCCAAATATTTTGTACTAACCTATAGGGCCAAAGAATTTGAAGAGAATATATATATGCATGTATAACTGCATCTCTGGGCTATACACCTGAAACTAACACAACATGCAAATCAACTATACTTTAGTTTTAAAAAGAAAACAAACTGAGAGAACTAAAAGAAGAAATCCAAATCATATGGAGCATATTCTCTGACCACAAGGAATAAAACTGGAAATAAAACATTTTTTTAATTTTTAAAAAACAAGATTTCAGGAATTCCCTGGCAGTCCAGTGGTTAAAACTGTGTGCTCTCACAACTGAGAGCCCAGGTTCAATACCTGGTTGGGGAACTAGGATCCTACAAGCTGCACACTGTGGCCAAAAAAAAAAAATTGTAAAAAAACAAAATTTTTTCCAAACACTTGGAAACTAAACAATTTACGTCTAAATAACTCATGGGTCAAAAAAGAAGTCTCAAGGGAAATTTTTTAAAAACTTACTTCCAAATGAGATCACATTCAGAAGTAATGAGTGTTAAGACTTCAATATATCTTTTTTGAGACCATAATTCAACCCATAACTGAGATCAAAAGCACAATCAATCAAACAAAACCCTCAACTTAAGTTTCACACTTTAGACAAAAATTGATTCATAATAGACAATAGACTTAAAAGGTAAACCTAAAAACCTTTTGGAGAAAATTTTCAGTATGCAGGACTAAGTATATCTGGAGAAAACTATAATTTTAAAAAATATATGCACCCCAGTGTTCCTTGTAGCACTATTTACAATAGCCAAGACATGAAAGCAACCTAAATGTCCATCAACAGAGGAATGATTAAAGAAGATGTAGTACATAAATGCAATGGAATATTACTCAGCCACAAAAAGGAATGAAATAATGCCATTTGCTGCAACATGGATGGACCTTAAGATTGTCGTACTGAGTGAAGTAAGTCAGACGAAGAAAGACATATATATATGATATCACTATATGTGGAATCTTAAAAAGTGATACAAATGAGCTTGTCTACAAAACAGAAATAGTCACAGATGTAGAAAACAAACTTAGAGTTCCCCGGGGGAGAAGTAGGGAGGGACAGGTTGGGAGACTGGGGTTGACATATACAGACACTATATATAAAATAGGTAACTAACAAGGACCTACTGTATAGCACGGGAAACTCTACTCAATACTCTGTGATGACCTATATGAGAAAAGAATCTTGGAAAGAGTGGATATATGTATATGTGTAAATGATTCACTTTGTTGTACACCTGAAGTTAACACAAAATTGTAAATCAACAATATTCCAATTTAAAAAAACTTTTTAAAGACTTTTAAGAAGAGAATAGCAATGCAAAAGGCAAAATATGCATATGAAAAGGTTTCTTCAATATTAAGAAATAAATGCTAATTAAAACAAGGGGATATTGCTTCACCACCATATTAGAAAATATTGATAACTTGGTACTGGCCAGGATAAACTGACAAGGACTTTCTTGCAGAATGTCACTACTTTTTGGAGGACATTTGAGCATTATAAATTAGGAACTTTAGAAAGACGTTGTGTCTGAGCAAGTATTCTTTTCCTACTTTGAGAAATTTATTAATCATTTTTGGAAGAAAAGGAAATACGGCGAAAGATGGTTGGTGGTGGTTTAGTTGCTAAGTCGTGTTGTCTCTTTGCAGCCCCATGGACTGTAGCCATGGACAGAGGAGCCTGGTGGGCTACAGTCCATGGGGTCACAAAGAGTCGGACACGACTGAGTGACTTCACAGCCACGATTCAACTGTGCTCAATAAACCTCACAATACTTCCAGAACTGAATATTCCTAAAACTTGCCTGTGTCCTGGTTCATTATTTTACTATCAGAAAAGAACTCTCCTAAGTACAAATTCCTTTCACCACTGACTTTGCCTAGTTAAGAAAAAGAACATCTAATCCTTGCCCTAATTCTCATTCTTTTTCCAGTCAAGGCTCATCCTACTCAGTGTGTGTGTGTGTGTGTGTGTGTGTGTGTGTGTGTGTGTTCAGTTGCTAAGTTTTGTCTGACCCTTTGCAACCCCATGAACTATATAGCCCACTAGGCTCCTCTGTCCATGGGATTCTCCAAGCAAGAATACTGGAGTGGGTTGCCATTTCCTTCTCCAGGGGATCTTCCTGACCAGATAGCAATGAGTAATAGCTCCTAGCTACTCCTGCCAAGGCTTGACATTAAACACACATCACATGCTATGAGTTGCAAATGAAGTTTATTGTGCAGACACCAAGACCACAGCACTTTAGATGCAGAACCAACAAGAGGGTTATATACACAGAAGCATGTTTCCCTGGGGGCACCACCAGGGGAAAGGCACAGGCTTTGAGATGGGGTGCTCAACAGAATACCCTCTGGGAGAAGGACCACCAAAAGGGCAATTGCAAGAAGGGGCAGGGAATGGGGGCAGGGCTGGAAGCACAAACCTAAACAATGCAGACTCTTCCCCTTGGGACAGAGGGTGTTACTGGCTCCAGCTGATTGGTTAGCTGGCTTTTGAAAATATTTCAAAAACCATAGATGGGCATCCCTTTGCCCCACAATGCCGTGAGAGGTGGATAACAAGATCTGACTTGCTGTCAGATGTACAGAGACAGGCATTCTGGAGGGGGAGGGTCAAGGGCGGACTCCGTCCTTATCTGAATGAGAAGGTCACGCTGGAACTGCCACCTTCACATGAGCCAGAACCACCCCTCTCAGAGCCATAACCGCCTCCTCCAGAGCTGGACCCTCCTCTGGAGCCGCCTCCAGTGCTGCGTTTTCCTCCAGAACTGTATCCTCCTCCAGAACTATAGCCTCCTCGAGAGCCACCTCCAGAGCCATAACTCCCACCACCGCTTCTGGAACCAGATCCTCTGCCTCCAGAGCTGTAACTGCTGCTTCCAGAGCTGAATCCTCCTCCAGAACTGGACCCTCTACCTCCAGAACCATAACCTCCAAGCCCAGCCCTGGAGGCCACGCTTGAAGAAATGCTGCTGCTCGTCACAGCTGCAGAGAGACAGACAGCATTACACCTCAGTTCCAACTGCCTCGGCGCCTCTGCCCCACTCCACCCCCAGAACAGGACCACTCCCCCGCCCCTTGCACTTACACACAGTCACGTTGCTGCTGAGGTCTCCAGACATCCTGCCAGAGAGAGAGAAAAAATAACTCTGGGCAGAGCATTTAGGGACTCTACATACACAGTTTTAACTTCCACCTACAATCACCCACGTCAACCTCAAAAACTCAGCCACCACGGCCTCACACAGCCTACTTTATTTGGTGCTGCCAGATGACAGAGATGGGGACAGGCCCCATGTTTACAGACACTCTGGCACCCCAAGTTATCTCAATTTCTTGCTCTGATAAAACTGATCGAAAGCAAATTCACTTCTGAACTGGCAACCCATTGTTTTATTTAAATCCATCTTAGGGAGTCTGATATGCAGAATCCAAGCCTCACCAGAAATTCTCAAACGAAGACTCTCCTGTGAACATTCAATTCAGAGAAAACTGCGACTCTGTACAGCCTCCCTGTCCTGACTCCCACCCCGCCCTCCCCTACTTCATCTGAATTCTTTCCCACTTCATCTTGCAAGCTGGGGAGAGGAGGCCCGGCCTCCAGACAGGTACCCAGCAGCAGCCCAAGCAAAGCCAAAGCTGCTCCCTTTCTGTAATACTGGCTCTCTGGTGGACCGAGGGGCTTTTCCCATCTAATTGCTTCAGCCAGACTGAATCACCAGGGGTAATGAGGACACTAACAAAGGTCTTAGACCACAGAGGAAGGAAAGGCTCCCTTCGGGAGTTAACATGTGGTTCTGGACGTCACTCAAGAAACCTGCCAAGAGCTAGATCTGGTGCCTGCTCTGTGGGCATGCCCCAGCCAGGCAGCACCTCCCAACCCACAACATCCCGCGCTGGGTCACAAGGTGGAAGGAGAAGACGCCACACACCCTGCAGACCCAGAGACGATGTTCCAGATTGTCAAGAACTAATCTGTGTTCACACCATCAGTTTTCCCTTTCAGAAAAGAGAAAGATTAATTTACTGCTTCAGTTAATTTAAAATTTAATCTGCCTTGTTAGTCGTCCCTCACTGAGAAGCCTACAGCTCTGCAGCGCTGCTCTGTGTCCTGAATCTCTCCAGTGAAGTCAGCTCTCAGCTGTCAGAAGGCCCTGCCCCTCCCTCTGCTTTCTCTGCCTCCACCTCCAGCCCTGGCTCCAGGAGAGGAGAAGGTGTACCCTCTGGCTTCCTGGGGCCCCTCACCTGCACTCCTCGCCCTCCAGCAGCTTGCGGTAGGTGGCGATCTCCACATCCAGGGACAGCTTGGTATTCATCAGGTCCTGGTAGTCACGCAGCAGCCGGGCCAGGTCCTCGCGGGCTTTTTGCAGAGCCTCTTCCAGCTCACTCAGCTTGCTCTGGGCGTCTTTGAGGGCATTCTCTCCCCGCTGCTCAGCATCTGCAATGGAGTCTTGTACACTCTTACACTAGGAGAGAAGCAGAAAAGGTTTCTGTTGGCACAGGAAGTGCAATCTGTCTTGGCAGAGGAGGAGAGGGAGGGAGCAAGGATGTGCAGGGTGTGAGAAGCCAGGATCACTGGCCCTGGAAGTGTGTCACCAGAGAATTAATGCAAGTTACAAACAATTGCTAAGACTTACTGCTGTCTCTGAGCCTCTGTCTTCCTAAGTCCCCTTTGACTGGACCCTTAACCCTTTCCCCATCGTGACCTTTGATGCTCACAACCTAGGACCAGAGTTGTTACCCCATTTTACAGTTGCAGGTGCAAACACTGAGGTGAATGGCTTCACAGAACTTCTGTTGCTTGTGGAGTCAGTTCTCTGCCCCACATTACCTCTTCCAGAGCTAATGTCCAAACCTGGCCAACCCCCTGCAGCACTCCCCGCCCCTGCATCACACAGCCAGCTGTGCAAAGAGGTACAAATGGGAGGTGACACCTGTGATCTTTGATGAGCCATGACCTTTAGCTTCATAAGACACTGTTCCATTTCACCCATGAAAGTGATCAAAAAGTTAACACAATTCTTTCCCTGCACTTAATCCCTACTTGAGAATAAATCTTGAAAGTGAAAGCTGCTCAGTCCTGTCTGACTCTTTGCGACCCCATGGACTATACAGTCCATAGAAATCTCCAGCGGATCTTCCAAACCCAGCAATTGAACCCAGGTCTCCCACATTACAGGCAGATTCTTTACCTGCTGAACCACAAGGGAAGACCAAGAATACTGGAGTGGGTAACCTGCCCCTTCTCCAGCAGATCTTCCCAACCCAGGAATCAAACCGGGGTCTCCTGCATTACAGGCGGATTCTTTACCTACTGAGCTATCAGGGAAGCCCCAAGGATGTCTCCTGATCACTCTAAAATTGTTCTAAGTCTTAATTATGTCAAGCCCAAGGTTTTTGTGATCAACATACACTATATTAGAATTTATCTCTCTCTCTCACTCACTCACACACACACACACACACACACACCTGCACACAACCTCCCACCCCACCCTGAGTTGCACTCAGCCAGGAGAACTGCAGCCATCCTAGGGCACAGACCCCACCTGCTTCTTCACTTGAGCGATCTCCCCTTGCAGCCTCTGGATCATGCGGTTCAGCTCGCTGATCTCCATCTTGACCTCCTTCAGGCTGTCTCCATGCTTTCCAGCAGTTATCCTGAGCTCCTCATACTGCATAGGAAGAGGAGGAGAGTTACAGTTTGGAGAAAGCTCATCTTGAGCCAAGAAAGTCTGATCTGACCAGGGAGGGTCAACCAAGTTGAGTGGGAGATGGGGGACCAGTGTCATACTTGACTGAAGGCATTTGGGATACTACAGACACCCTTTCTTGGGAATGATGCCCAATTTCCACTAGACAAATCCACCAATAACCTTATTGTACACTTAGTGGCTGGGCTGGAATGCAGCTCATTAGAAAGAGCTGCAGCTCTCCCTGCCCACCCAGAACGTGCCTTGCTGTGGTACACCGCCTCGGCCTCGGCCTTGCTCCTCTGGGCAATCTCCTCGTACTGGGCCCGGACCTCAGTGATAATGCTGTCCAGATCCAGGCTGCGGTTGTTGTCCATGGACAGGATGACGGTGGTGTCGGAGATACTCTGTTGCATCTGGGACAGCTCCTGCAACACAGGGAAGGTCTGGCCACGACGTCCCTGCCCACAGCCACAGGCAGTGAGGAGGAATTCCCCTCCCCCGGTCCCAGGGAAATGCAGAATCTCAGACTAACTATGTACTGGGTGGGATACAAAGTGATATAGCCACCATTCCCAGTCAGGTAGTACTGAGAATTATGGGGAGGGGTCTGCATTTCTGAGCCTCCTAGTTAACAGCCTTCACCATTTATGCAGCTTAATAAGTGCCCCCAGAAAGAAGCCAGTTGATGGCAAATGCCTTAAATTGCACTTCCTATTCCAGAAGTCATGTGTGTGCACTTGGGCAGGGAAGGGGGGAGTACATTATATTTTGACCTCTGAAATATATTGGATATAAGAAGAAAAACAGGGTGAGTCTCTTCCTAAGGGGAGCTGGGCTGAGGGAATTTGTCCTAATGGAGCTTTACTTCCTGTGACATCAGAGGAGAAAGTTCCTCTCCTCCAAGGCCTACACCAAAGAAGCTCCCGGTGGCCTAGATATTGGTCAGTTGAAGTCAGCTACCCATAAACCCCACCCACAGCCCCTTTTCCCCAGTGGGAGAGGACTTCCTTTGGGGTGAAAGGTAGGTAGCAAGGGTCTATTTAAGAGCAGCCTACTTACTGCATCAAAGAGCATTTTTGTGAACTCCACATCCTGTCTCAGCAAGTCCACCTTGGCCTGCAGCTCCACCTTGTTCATGTAGGCATGGTCCACATCCTACAGGGAAGGTCAGGGTCTCTGGTGAGGTTTACAGCCCCCCACCCCAACCTTGCAGTGCTTTGTGTATGGGCCTCTCTACCACTCCTCCTCCCAGTCCCTGTCAGCTGCTCTCCAAAATCCCAGGTACCTCAAATAACCCACAACCCCACAGGACCTCATTCGCCATGATGTCCACAGTGCATCTCTGCAGGGGGCTACATGCCCATGTCACTGCTCACACTCCCCCAAGACCGTCAGAGCTCTGATGGGACCGAACTTTGTCAACCATTCTCTCCTTCCTGCTTGAGATGCTCTGTATTTCCACCAAAGAGCATAATAGCCTCTGTGGCTTTTAACAGTCCCCAACTCTCCCATCCTATCTATCCGTCCCACCTCTCCTGGATTTCACACCAAAGCTTCTGCAGAAACCAGGTTGAGAACCCACACTTCTGTCTTCAGGCTCAAACCTTTGTCAGCCCAACTGACTACATCTTTAAGCAGGCAATCTAAGGAAGTCCCATGCCTTCCTCGGCCCTTTAGAAAACAAATCAAGTACTTTCTATGGTCATAGCTTTCAAGATCCAATACAGTCTTTGAGTAGGTAATAGATGGGAAATGTCCTAGCAAAAGTGCAGAAATTGCCTGAAGCTTGAACTACAGAGACACCTTTATTTCCAAGAGAACCAGCCATGGATATGCTTCGCCCTTTCTCTGGCTAGTGCTTTTTTCACTCAGAGGTGTGCTCCAGCCTGTCCATCTAGGCATGATGGGCTTTGATGCATCCTCACTCCCACCCCAACCATGACATCCTCTCATTCACCTTTTTAAGTGTTACAAACTCGTTCTCAGCAGCTGTGCGCTTGTTGACTTCATCCTCATACCTGTTGGTACCCAAGGACACTGCAGTTAGACTAGTACTAGTTTGTTTCCCTTTTTCTTCTTCTTTTCCTACTGGATTCACCAAAAATACTCCATTTCCTGGGACTATTAAAAAAACACTTTTGTCTAAATTGAAATGATGATAACCCAGATGAGGATGCTTTCCTATATATTAACCATCAAACTTGTCAAAAACATGATCTCTAAAGCCCTAAATGTCTCCCTCCCAAACAATCAGCAAAGATACAGAAGGTTCTCCCCTTTATCCCCACAAATGCAACTGGGAGATGAGTGGTTTTCTGGGGCAATGATTGGATGGGCTCAAATCAATGTTTATGTCCGCTTAGTTTTTACTCTGCCACTTACTTCTTCTTAAAATCCTCAACAAGATCCTGCATGTTGGTCAGCTCT